AAACCACCTTTATAGAGAAATTATTTGAGTAATAATATCAATAACAATCAAAAAAACATTACTTGTCCATCGTACAGATTCACATGGACCAATTGATATACAGGAATTTAAATGATTAAGGTTTATGAGTTGTGTAAATGGAAAATAAAAATACACACCTCAGTTTCCAGAATGAGAACAGACAGAGGATACAAACATGCCTGTGTTTCGGTCTTCCTGTTTAAAAAAATGATCTAGAAATTAAGTGTATTTGCCCCTAATTTGAGTAAGTATATAAGATGATTTACCAATGGAAGGAGTATATTTACTCTTAAAACAGATAATTAGATAATATGCACTTGAAATAAGATGATGCAATTTTTTTTTCTTATTTTACATGTAAATTGTCTTGCTCCATTGGCAAAGTGTTTCAATTACCTCCTCAATTCAGGAAAAAATGCAAGGACTTAGATTTACATTGTTTGCAGCTCTTTCGCAGCTAAGATGGTCACTAGGAACAATTTCAATAAACAAAGAGACAAAGTAGTCCTTGAGTAATCAGATGTGCACTGGACAGGCCAATCATAAGAGCCAGGGTGTATCTACCATGCAAAACACAAAATCACTTCATCAGTGATCGACAGGCTTTCAGGCACCTACAGGCCAACCTGGCAGGAGTAGAACTGATTTGCTCCACACCTCATGGACAACAAACACAAGTAGAACACATGAAAACAAACAATATGCAAAGATAACAGCAGACCTAGTAGTCGTAACCTAAGTTTGACATTTTATATACCCAGAAAACATTTTCATACTTACTGTTTCAAGCTTTTACACAAGTATATGTACTTATATATAAGAGAAATTTAAGTACTCTGACATCTCTGGTACTTACACACAAGCTCAATCTGAATACAGCAAATAGGTAAGGACTCTTTAGATGAAGGAGATGTGAGTAGGCCATCGCCATGATACTGGAGGTGCTGTTTGGATAGTGCTGGGAGTAAAGCTGGAGGTACGAAAAGGAGCCTGATGCTTCCTATCATAATACCTTTAGCATAGGAACCTCATAACATTCCTATTTAGTGCTAAGTAGCTAATAGAAATCCCACAATCCTTTGTGTGTCATGATATATAAGCACAGTCCACCACCTTGAAATGAAGAAATTAGCTTTAAACATTAAAATGTACGCAGCTTCATATGTTTTAATCTGCATAATGGAGAGCTTCAGTTGTGTACTACATTTTTACATCTTGATTTTGGTTGTTTTTTTTCCCCTGAAGGCTTGACTATTATCAATGTGTGTTCCGTAGGGTAATTATGTCCAGAAAGATAAAGACAGATCCTAAATAAAGCATAATTTAAGTTTAATTGAATTGAATCCTAGTATGAAGCAGCTTAGACACTAATCTTCAGGCAGGCGTACGTAGTGCAACCTGCAAAAACAAGCAGCAACAAAAAATATATCTTTCCAAATGTATGTCTCTAATAAACAATACAGCTTTGGAAATAAATAGGAATGTTTTTTTTTTTTGTTTTTTTTTTTTTAACAGTGTCCTGTCTGGCAATGTGGCAATAAGAATAATTGTCTTGATGCCAAAAAGAGCCCAACAGATTTTACTTTCACAAGTGTAGCAGTATGGCAATTGCCATATTGCTCCACTTGTTTCAGGAATATAAATTGCTTTATTATAATTATGCAGGGAGTTTTACAGTTTATATGGACACTGCAATGTAAATAGAGCAGAAAAACAGAAGAAGAAAGGGAAAAAAAGAGAAAAGATGAAAGAAAGAAGAGATAGAAAGGAGCCAATGACAAAACATTTTCAGTCTGCTTCATCACCTGTAACGAGATGAAAAAAGAACAGCACAACCGAAAGACATGGTACGAGATATACAATACAGGAATGTTTTAACTAACACAAAAATAAATATATGTAAATGTACATACCGCTGCTTATCCTGTTTTATTTCCAAAAAAGCTTCTTTTTTTGTGTGTGCAACAAACTTGGCCAAAAGTGTTTATTCTGATATGATTTCCGAAAACTCATCATTCAAAAACAAATTCAACATAAATGCTTATTTATTTATTTTTTTTTACTTTATTTCTGATCGTTTTTGACTACATGTCACTTTACAACAATTGGAAGCATTCTAATAACAGTATACTTGAGGTAAATCAGAACGCCTATTTTAATTAGATCACATTATTGTTTGCAGAAATAGGAAACATTTTAAAATGTGAAAATTAAAAGAATATCTGTTTCCATGTTGCAGTTTGTCTCTTTGTCCTTTATTGTCAGGAAATGGCTATAAGCATCAGCAACTCATCTACAGTTTGAGTAATAATTAGAAAGCTAGATAGAAAAAAAAGTAAATGTCGCTTTTGTTCCTTTTTCTAAGTCTAAATAAGAGCCCCACTCTGGAAACACTACATAAGAAAATCATTTTTATCATGCCTGTTTGCAAGGTCTTGATATCATATACTTTTTTCACCCTTTTAATCTTGTATATTCATTATTTTCGTTATATTAACAGGTTTGAATTTACTGTAAAAGACACATCATCATTTAGAACATAAAAATATGCAGCATAGTTAAAGGACACGCAGCACTCAAGCATCCATGTAAAATAATATCTTTATTATGATCATATTTTTCTCCGGATCAATACAAAGAATATCAGTTTAGTTTGGTGGCGCCGTCAGTGTTGCATTTTCTTCTCAAAAGGACAAAGAGGACGAGACAGAGACAAATATCGAACATATAATGCAGCACAGGATAGCTACATTTGTAAGTTAGTTCGGCTTAAATGTTTCTTGAATTACAATCTGTATGTTTTAAACAAAAGTACCCAAATACACAACTGATCTTGAAAGTGTGGTTTATTTGCATGCAGATGGTGTAAAAGCAAACCCTACATACTGTAGAAGGTTTTAAAAGATCCCCCCAATAGGGTAGCATGCAACTAGGATGGTTAGAGTTGTATACATCCACTAAAACCCCACTTTAAAGGTTTAGGTCAACATTATAGAAAAATGTATTTGGTTGGCATTTTACCTAATTATTCATGTCAATGCTGTTAGGTTTATATAGAACATATTTCAGGCTGTAACAGTAAGCTGATTAACTTCCATTTTTCAACAATATTATTTTGGTTTTTTTGTGTTTTTTTTACACAGTCCTCAAAAAAATAGAAAATGCCTGTGACCATAAGTATTGTTGGTGAACAATTTGTTCTGCTTAAGTCACATTTACTATATATATCTCTCTCACTATATATATATATATATATATATATATATATATATAGAGAGAGAGAGAGAGAGAGAGAGAGAGAGAGAGAGAGAGAGAGAGAGAGAGAGAGAGAGAGATATGTAGTAATAATGTCACTTTTTGACTATGCTACTATGATTTTATTATTTTAAAATATGTGCATCTTACAGATCAAATCCATCTGCCTCATTGTCCTTTGGATGAAAATTTAATGCAATCATCAGTTCGTCGAAGTAACAAGTGTTCAAACAAATACGCTTGTATAATAAAATAGTCTTATTTTACACATAAATATGAAATTTAATGGCAGATGAGAAAGAGCCTTGCTTACGTTGGTAAAGCTTTTGACCATGCAACGTTCAGTACCATAAAAACAAAACAAAATAAACACACCAAGGGCACAGATTATCTCAAATATGTACACAAAATAACAATACCATTAGCTCGATCTTGTATTTTACAGCTAAAGTTGTACCATCAGTCCAGCACATTAAGATGTGTACAGGTAGCTCAAAGGGAGATTTAGGTGACTGACTGTCATAAACACTACAAGGTCATCAGAAGTTTTATGTTGTTGTTTGTTTAATACGCCATTCAAATATAGGATGAAAAAATAATATACTCCAAGATTTTTTAATAATTATATACATATCCATATAGATTAAATACTGATCATTCTGAATCCCTGGATTGCTGAAAACCTTAGTTGCTTTAGGCAGCAAGGTAACAAACGCCAACACGATAAGGGCTGCTAAATTTCACAACAGAAAAATCTTATTATTGTCATCTCTTTAACTATTTAGCTTATTGTCTTGGATTGTGGACAGAGGATCATCCACACATTCATTTTAGCTTGTGTCAGAAAGATTTTTGTTATACCTAAATGAGGCTATGTAGCTCAAGTTTTCACGCTAAGCTAAAACTAGCATGGCAAAACTATCCTCTCTTACTGCAACTTATTTCTATTTACCAAAAAAATGTGTCCAAATCACTATCTAATAAGAAATCAATTATATTAAAATAGGTATTATAAGCTTGCTTGACCTTAAACATGAGAGATGTTTAATAAGAAAAACATCATGTTTTTTTTCTATTCATCATTAACCATTTTCTCACGTAATACGAATCACAAGTTCTTTTTTTTATCTCTATAAAGAAGGACGACATCACTTCCTGCCTTATAAGTGCATCATTGTTGTATGATATTTTTATACCTCGACAGAACAATTCTCAGTCGTATTGAGAAGGAAATCAACATTAATAAAAGAAAACGTTTCTCCAAAAACTTAAAACAGGCAGTAAAATATGGCTACACTGGAACAATTTGACAACAGCTTAGATTTTGATATTAAGACCGGTTTCTGTTTAGTTATTCATTAATTATTCTCTGCTTATTTAACGATATTTGAATGATAAACTGAATTTTGCTGCATTGTTTGGCAGCCAAGATCAATTGGAATGTAAGGAATTCACTTGGAATCAGTCTGTATGATTCAAATTAACTTTATAAAGTGCCTTTAGAACTATACTGTGAATTGGCGCTTTATGAATAAATCAAATTGAACTATTTTTTTGTTTGATATCTGAGTGTTCAAGTCAAATTTGAATGTTGCAACTACATTACCCAGCAAACTTTATTCACTTGCAAAAAGACTGACACACTCATTCTAGCACTTGATTCTGAAAGCATCAAAAGTGTAGGAAATCTTTAAGGTGTAGTGCAGCTTAGTGCAAAAGGAGGTGGATTTTACCTGCTGCAATTTTTTTTTTTATTGGAATCCATGATTATGTCCATTAAAGCAGTGCTGTGTAACTTTTAGCCAATAGGGGCGCTAGACCTGTAACTTCCCAATGTAGCACCCTATACTTTTTCTTTTTTTTTTCTGTAAAGGTCTCACTCACCCCTCTAGATTAAATTCTGCATCTGATAACTAAATATATGTCTGATCAGTAAAGCATTATATCTATTTTGCTGCCAAACAACTTTTTAGGGTTAGCTCTCATGTTTAAGAGGACTGCTGTAAAGTGGTGCTCTACGTCACATGACTCATTCAATCCTCTCACGTTACATAGGCAAGTTTTTGAGAAGGGCATCAATACATGCTCAGTGCTGCATATTGATTTGAGAAACCATTTAATATATCTCAAAGTAAGCTAATACTTGGGTCAAAACCTGCACAGGACTGTCTTAAATCAGTCCCTCAGAAGATAACATGTTTTCATACAGGGTGGATTATCCTCGACGCACCACCTTCACACAATTAAGGCACCTTTTAAACCCTTGAGGGGTCAATGGATTCTTCTAATAAGAAGAAAAACAACAATAACAAAATGGAACAAACCAGGAATAATACAAACAATTCAAACACGATGGAAGACACGAAAAACCGAGGAAAAAAAAAAAAAAAAACGATGGAATGCCTGTGGATACGGTAGAAGTTCTAGAAGTGCCCTCGAAGTTTCATTTCTTCTTCTCTCACCTTGTAATTTATTACAGCAGCACCACAAGCCACAAGACTGTGGAAACACTGTGACTATTAGTGAAGCACCTTGATCAGTACAGTAGGTCCTCCCCAAACCTCACCTGTGTTTATGAGTCAACAAATGGATATGTATGTGCCTGTATAGTAGTCAGTATCCAACGTTGAGCTTGTTCTTATTGAGCTCTCGCTCCAGGTTGCCTATGAGAGTGTCGATGCTTTCCTGCAGGTCTCTCAGGTTCACCCTGTTGCTCAGAACAGGACTGATGTCCTGAATCTTCATGTAAGCCTGGTAAGTGTGCTCCTTAGGCAACCGAGTCGGCAGGATATGGTTAAACACGGTTTCCTCTGCTTCCTCCTCTTCAGAAGCCTGCCTGTTAATTGAGCTATCACTGTCGCCTTCTTTCTCTCTCTCTTCTTCTTCCCCCTTTTTCACCAACTCCTCTCTTCCAGATTCTTTCTCCAAGACAGGATCACAGAGGATCTTCTCCTCTTCATCTTCCTCAGCTGTGTCCTTCTCCTGAACTTCTTCAACCACCTCCGTATCCTCAGAAGGCACGTCATCGTAGTCTGCCTCTTCTTTGCTGGGAGGCAACAGCATTTCAGAGGGGAAATAGCGCTCACCACAGCCACTCCAGTCACCAGCGTATCTGTTGCTGGGGCTGTCCAGACGTCCCGGTTTGGGTCGTAGAACACCCGCTATCTCTGCTTCGCTGAGGTTTAGAAACTGGGGGCGCTCTTTTCTACGTCTCAAAGGAGGGGCTGACAGAAGGTCGAAGGAGGTTGGAGCCAGAGAGGCTGCAGGGGGCGGAGGGGAGCCTTGTTCATTTGGGTCCACAACTACAGTGAGAGAGACGGAAGAGAAAGTAACTAAATTAGATTCTAATTGAGTTTAAAAAAAATGAATGACAGATAACATGTCTGATTCGTTTCAATACCCAGAAATCAATGAATTAAAGGTGCAGCTCAATAATCTAATCTATTTCAGTAATTCAATTTATAAAGATTAGCTTCCAAACTCCATAAAAGTAACTTCAAGGTGGACCAAAATATCTTGTTTTCTGTTAATTTTAATGATAATGGCTGAGCTGGAAATTCAGTTTCTCAGAATATTTGGATAATTCTTAGCGGTAACTTGGCTTGACTTGCCCAATAGAGGCTGATTAATAGTTTTCATAGAGAGGGTAAGCCATAAAAACAGCTCATTGTTAAAGAAGCTGGTCATTTAATGTATGTTTATGGAAAGTGCAATACAAATGATGGTTAAAAAAAACTGTAAATAAGCAGCTTGGATGATATCTGCCTTTCCTTAAGATGTTTTAGGAGCAAAGATAATTCAAGAATTTGGAAAAGATTAACAAGCAGTGGACGAATACTGGAGTCATTGAACACCAGATGTCACAACTGTTGCTTAAGAGCGGTCTTAAGCCACTCTTGAATGAGAGATGACATCTTATCTGGGGTTAGGAGATAAAAGACTTGACTGTTGTGTAGAGATCCTTTTTTATCTCAGATTCAATTAAATATTGCATTTAATTATTAAATTCTGATGTTTTCAGAGTCTGGGGAAAATGTTGAGACACAGAATCAAAGCAGCTTTAGGTTCTGCGTTGTTTTCATTTTCCCCTTCACTAACCAGCTTAATAGACATGCCAATTTCATGGGACAAAACTACCAATTCCTTGTTTAATAACTGTGCTATAACTGCTTGATTGGTCAGCAACCTCAACTAATCTAAACCCCAACAAGAATATGGGGGGTTTGGTCAAGAGCAGGATGAATGACCTAAAATAACACTAAACAGCCCAAGATGGCTATTAATGTAATCTAGGCTTCCAAAACAACTAAATCTGATCTTATCCAAGCAATGTTGCAAAGATGTTTCGATTCATGAAAAAAAGGCTCAACCAAATACAGAGTTCTCTTATGTCACAGTCAAAATTTCTGCATCAACAATCGTTTTTATTGCTTTTATGTAATATTTAATCTTTTTTTATGAACCGTTATCCATTATCATTGAAATGAACAGAAATAAAAACAGAAAATAAAACAGTGTGTTTTTATAATATTAAGTTGAATTACTGAAACAAACCTAAGCCAATTTTTCAATCACATTCTAATGTATTGAGATGACCAAGTACGGGCCTGGAATTAGTCTGCCGTTTTTTGATTAGACACAGTTTTTAGAAAGCCCTGTCAGACATGCAAAGAAATAGTGATTAAGATCTTACAGAAAATCTTATTTAGCATGATTGATAATGGAACTGATTTAAGACAACAATCAGAAATCATAAAAAAATAATAAGGATTTAGAGGGAAAAGGCTTGTGTCCAATATGGTTCCTTACTGCTGCCTAGTGTGTTGCCTTCCTTTATTTCAATGCAAACAAGGCAAAAGTACTTCAGCTTTAATTGAATTTTTTTTCTGAAAAGTAAAAAAAAAGAAAACTTGTTTTTACTTTTAAAAAATAAATAATTAACTTTTTAATTTTGCACTAAAAAAAACATCCAGAGCCAAATTAAAACAAATCAAAAAACTTCTATAAATTCTGATTTTGTTTATGATGAAAAAATATGGCATTGAGGAACAGTTTACAACTGTTTAAAGGTATCCATTTACCATTTACCATCTGAGCAGAAATATTATAAAGTGAAGGGACATGCCAACTCGGGCGCATGCTGAAATCACACCACCACACGCTGTGATTTTGTTCCCAGCCAATCGTACCGTTTAACTGCAGTTGAGCTAAACTTAAAAATTGACCAAAGCGATCCCCATTTGGTGGTTATAGAAAAAAATATATATAATGTGAGGGAAGAGTGAGCGATCACACACAGCTAGCTCAGTGTGATTACCTGTCTGTCTTTTTCTCAGTGTACCCATTTCTTACGGTCTTGAAAAGGAACAAAATACAGTTAGGACCAAAATTCACTGATGTTTTTTTTCTTTTTGTAACCTTTTTTTCCAGTAGTCTCAGGGCAGTAATGATGAGTTCTGCAACATGTCAGCTTTTGGTTCAATCACCACAATAGTGCATACCTAGCAGCATTCCTGAGGCTAAAGACTAAAGCAATCACCCCTGAAGGAGAGATTATCTTCCCTATTCAGTTTTAGACATGACTCACCAATGACATGAATAAAATGCTTAATTTAGAGAAGGATAAAAAAAATAGACTTTTAAATACATAGAGCAGTCATAAGACAAATAATTATGTGGTTTTGCTAATAAAAAATGTAAAATCTTGCCAAGTCAAGATGCAGAGACTCTTATCAAAATGACAGATGCTGGAAACAAACTAAAAAAGTGCTTCAGCAAACCATTAGGGTCTGAGTTTTCACACTTTGTTATTACAATTACAACCAAAAATTAGCAGTTTGTTTTTCAATACTTGTACAGTTTTAAAGGTCGCATTTAAGATGGTTAAATTTCTGAAATGACTTCCCTTGGTCTAACCTGTTTTAAACCTTGTAGAGTTTTATCTATCTGCACTGATAGAAATTCCCTTAATCCAAGCGTTTTGAATGCTTCAATGGTGGAAGATTTAACACTATCTTCCTGAATATTTCAAATAATATTTTTTTTTATTGGAGATCAATATTAGTGTGCAGTTATGTAAACTTTTATTGCCAGAAGAAATAATAAAAAAAAAGCAAAGCCAGGACTTCATAGAAAAGCTACTTATTCTGTCTTTATGTTGCAGAAAATTAGACAGTAGAAATACCCCATTCTTTTTCGATCTTTGTGCACATATTTTTATGACGAAATCTGCTGTTTTTTAACAGTTTTTTGCTATAACTTGTTATCCGTTGCCTATGCAACCTTATTGATCTCACACTAGAGAAATTCACCTCCGGATTTAACCCATCCCCTTTGGGAGCAGTGGGCTGCCATTGTGTGGCACCCGGGGAGCAGTGTGGGGTTAAGGGTCTTGCTCAGGGACCCAGACTGGCAGTCATGGAAGAACCTCGGGAACCCAAGAGCAATGCCCTAACCACTAGGCCCCTTCTCCCCAAAAAATACATAATTTTTAAAGAAAAATATTTTTGTTAAATACATAATTTCAAGTTTATGCGGAAACTCTTTCTATATTCTTGAATATTGTCTTTACAATTATATCTAATTTTGAGGAAAAAAAAAGTAAATCTTAATTTTAAGTTTAAATACTTACTTCAAATTATTTTAAACCACTTGGAAAATTAGTACACAGGAGAGGGACTCTAAAAGTTATGACCATGTCTGCACTTGAACAGCAGAATGTTCGAGCTTAAAAAGAGAATTACTTTAATCTAATGCACACCAACATTACTACACATGCCATCCTCACGCTACATCGGCCCGTTCTACCTCTCACACATAGAAAACTATATCACACATTCAATGAACAGCTGTCGATCAGCTTTATCAGCCTTTCACTCGTTCTGTAAACGGCGCCAGTGTCTTCCCACCAGCGGCCGTCGGATGCCCCTGCCTTTGCCCTGAAACACGTGCAGCAGAGGCCTGAGCCATTTTGCTTTGGAGGAGGTTGGTATGTGTGTGAGAGGCGTGAAGTGGCGGCTGAAAATATCCCATAATGATTGTGAAATGTTAGGGTGAAGCTCCGGGGGCTGAAGGGTAAGGTTAAGTCTGGAATGTCTTTAATTACAGTCCAGGCGTCCTCCAGTTCGTTCTGGGGAAGAGGATGGATAGGAGGTAAGGGTGTAAACAAAGGCTGGAACCTGGAATGAAAGCTTTTTGTAAAAGTTATTACAGGCGGTAGCCAGGCTGCATCAGCAATGACCAGAAACTCATCGCAGGAATTTTCTTAGTCTAAAACTTGCAGCTAATTCCTTTAATAGCTTTTCATATGTATAGACCCTTAAAATAATAGGATTTATTCTGGAATATTTCAAATGTCTCTGATGTTTCTTGCCATCCACACAGGCTTCAATTCTGGATTTGCTTTTTTCCTTCTTCCTTTTCATTTTTTTTTTATTATTGTTCTATTTTAATGACCAAAAATATATAAATACTCAACATATGAAGCAAAAATATCTATTGTGTTATTTCAACATTACCTAAATAATGTCATCATTTATATTTATTTATGTTTTTGCTTTTTGACTGTATTCTCAGCAGCCTTTTGTTAACCTTTTCTTGCTTTTTTCCCCATATATCTAGATCACTGTGATGAAAATCAACATTACTCTCATTAGCAATAAACCGATGAAGCACAAAGTATTAAAAATGATTTAATATGCTGTTAAAACAAAGCCAGTTCAGAGTTGGATTCAAAGGGTAGCGGCTATATGGAGGGACAGTCTGTCAAAAATTAAACATTTTAGTTTAACATTAAGTTTCCGTGATGTGATCTAAGAGAGGCTTTTAGGAAAACTGTAGTAAAAAAAATAGATGTATGTTAAATTCAAAAGCAACCTGCATCATTCATTAAGTTTTTTTTTTGCTGATTATAGGAACTAATAAATAAAATTTCAAAACACCCCAAAAATACTGTTTTTTTTAGAGCACTTAATAAGCATTATGATTGTAGTTTTGTATATCCTGATAAAGTTTCTTTAAACAAAGCTATTAGCTTTTATCCTGAACATTTTAAAGTGCTTTCTGAAATAATCTTTTTAGTTCCTTCATATTTTATAAAAGACAGCTGCAGCTGGTAGAAGCAGCTGTAAAGGCTGACAAATGAGCTACAGGGAGGAAAGCTGGTGCTGTGGACCGCTGCTGGATGACTGGTTTAGCATAGAGAGGAGGGGATACGCCTCATAAATTAGGTTTATTTTGGCTTTCCTGGCTTGGCTCTGATTGGCTCAGCCCACCACGATAAAGCCCTTGTGGAGAGTTTCATCTCAGAAAAGCCAGCAGATGGTGGCCAGTGGCTATCAGCAACTTTCATGCCACTCTGTAACCTTCAAGGATCAAAGCAGCCCAGTCCCACATCAGTTCTCCGTAGAGCCAGACCACAAAGCTGGTAACAATTTGTAAAACTACCCCATAAATAAAAAAAAAGAAAAAAAAAGAGCAACACAGTTTAGATGGAAACGAATCGACCAAAATGAAAAAATGAAAGGATGGAGGATTCACCTGGCCAGAGCTGCAGCAGGTAGTGCAAGACTTCAATGTGTTTTTTGAAGTGCAGTGCGCTGGCCAGCTCCTCCGAGTCGATGAAGACGCGGTTGGTATGGTAGGACGCCTCCTGACGTTGGCTGAGCAGCACCGGCCCGAAACAGACAGCCAGGTTCTGACATGTCATCTTGTTCATCTCCTGGTAGGACGCCACCAGCTTCAAGTGGTCGAGAAGCTTCCGCAAAGTCATCTGATGCAGACACACACATAAGGGTGGACAAATAAGGCATGTTATTATGTTGATTAGTAGTTGCAGTATTACCACTGTCAGCAGCTGAGGGGTATCAGAGCAAAGCCTCTTCTTCATCAAGCTAATCTGTTGCAGGAACAGGACACAGTGGTGCTAAAAAGTGTACACACATTTTGCAAGGTAAAAATTTGCCAAACATCCTTAACAATTTAACCAAAAACTCAATAGGCCTGAATAAAATAAATGGTAAATTTTAAAAAGATGCATTCAATTGATTGCCAAAGCCCCCTCTGATTTATTCCTACATTCTTCTTATTCTTTCTAGTGAATTTGATGAACCTTAATCATCTCTGAATCCCTGAAATCAGGCCATAGTTGCAGACAGGTTAGAAGGCCGAAATTTCAGGCCATTTATTTATTTTTTTTATGCCAGTGTTCAGCCATGAGTGGATCTCTGGCTCTGCTACCGCGACCCCTGAGCCGCCTCCGCCTACACTGGCAGCTTTTTGTTTTTCTCTGCACACCCTGACGTAACACGTTAGTGCACTCAGTCGGTCACTGGTGTCAGACAGTTGGAGAGTAAAAAGAGCAAGAGTGGCATGAAGAAAACTAGAATTAAAAAGAGGAAAGCTCTGGAATATTACTGCATATTTACGCCATATATATTTATCGCTCTGAACTTCCATATCAATGCATGTTTGCACAATGTTTTTTTTTTTCTCCAACACTGTTTATGTGATCACTGCTGCACTTTAAAGAGTAGAAATGTTCTGAAAGCTGTGCAAAACAAAATTTCGTGTTGTATACACTCTGTGTATACAAAATGGCAATAAAAGTTGTCTAAGTCTAAGAAACAGACACTGCTAAATGTACAACAGTTGGCAGCTTTTTAGTATAACAAGCTTAAAGTTTGAAATGTGCAAAAACATCGATAAAACGGGTAAGGCAAGATGCTGAACTTTGCCTGCAAGCCACTGAACACGTTAAATATCAACTCATTGCATTTTGTGGGGATGTGGTGCATAATATAATGTTATATAGCTTTCTATACCCAAGCCATATAAACTACCTGTTATATTTCTTAGCATTAAAACCCATGGTAAAATCCCAAATGTGAAATGGAAAATTATGAACTATGAAATAAATCTTAATATTTACCCCTTGAAATATTTTAGTTAAGTTCAAATGTGTTTTCCATATCGAATGTGCTCAATCTTTAAAGATTACTATTTATTTTATGATGCAATTACATGAGAGTCTAGTTAACTGGATGAAGTATGAAATATTAATATTTCCAGTTATTTTATTTCACTTTGAAGGTTTGGATATCTGTGAACACTTATTTGAATAGAATGTTGACTCTGCTGAAAAGGTTATGAACAATAATGTTGGTAATATGTATTTTGAAACAACCTTAACTTTTACTGTATAAGAAGTATTTTAGAAATAAATTGTGATGTAGTGGACTTAACCTATAAGTTTACAATTTCATGGTTTTTAACAGTAAAAGGTAATTATCCTAAATGGGCCTGTATGAGGCGTGAAACTCCAGGGCTGAAAATTAGTCCCATTCCGACCCTGTTAGAAAGGAAGTGATATTGTTTCAGAAAGGTCAGAAGAAGGACCCCAAATACTAACTAATTAATTAACGAGAAAATGTGATGGAAACTGGTCAAGGAGACAGATAGAGGCTTAATAGCAGAGCTGGTAGGCAAGCCTCTTTATTCTACCTATGTCTAGACTAAGAAGGGTGTCTGAATGACAGATGCCTTTTTTTTTAAAGGAATATGAATATTGTAGGAACTTGAGCTTTTGTGCAACAATTTATAAAAGTTATTTTTTTTTGTTCTAAAAAAAAAAAAACAGAAAATAATTCAACTACACAAAGAAACATGATAGTTGCAGGATCCTGCCTTAGAGTTACTCCCCCCCACAAAAAAGAACTGACTTTTTATAGGTTATAATAATCTGAACAGTTCTAGTCTCTTAGATATATTGTCAGTAAGCAGTAATGTCAAGTAATTAGCCTCACATTTTATCCCAAAAAACAACAGGTACATCTCTGCAGACAGCATAGCACTGTTATTATCATTATGTGGTAAACGTGCGTAATGTCACTACAACGGTAGTAATCTTAGGCAATGTCATCATTCCACAACTGCCAGTAGTGAAGCCAGTGTAAACGTTTTCATAGCTTCATATTAAAATTTATTTATCCCCCCATTAAAGTGTAGGAAAGCAGCAAAGTCACAGGAATATTGTTAACTTACCCTCTCCACCTCCGGCAGGATTTCCAACAGACTCACAGTATACTCTGAGTCTGCCTGATCGTTTTCACACCCAGAAGCTCCCATCTTGAGAGGCCTGGTGGCCATAGTCTCCAGCACTGCCTCGTACAGCTGCTTGGTGATCAGAGGGTAGGGAAGTTCACGCAGGTAGTCCTTCAGTACTCCTGGGGCACAGAAAGAAAGCAGACTATGAGCAATATGGCTCACATCTCAGTCTGAATGGGTCATCATGGGTGCATGCTCTGTAAACAGGTGTTTAAGTATTTACCAAATATATCCAAATGAACCACCATTCAAATTATCTAAAGCATTTATAGTACGTAAAAGAAAAAGGAAAGATCTTAATATCTGATTCAAACAACTTAAGCTTTTGGCTGATTGGGATCAGGACTGTACATCAGATTCTGCTATGATGCTGCAGGAGGGGATGCCATAGGTGGCTTTTTACCTAATGCATCCGTTTTTTCTGTATCGATGTTTGAAAATAAACACAGTCCATCCTTATTTTTAATTCTCAGTTAGATTTTAACGTTCCTGCATCTAAATGTTTCATATTTGTACAAAAAAAGGCAATTGCAACTCATCAATTTCCAAATTTATATCATTAAATATAAATTTTTGTTTCAGTTAAAGTACCCAGATCAATTAGAAACATAGAAAAACCTTTATAGTTGAAATCAACCAATTTGTTTAATATACATAGGTTCTCTTTTTGTAAAATATGAAATACATGGCAAATTAAGGGGGCTCCATTATTTCAGATAGTGATTCTTTGGTGTCTGGCTGGATGCCCGGCTGATGAGGGTGTGATGCATTGGTCCTTAGTGTTTTGGTAGACTGGGGAGGGTCTGGTTTAAGTGACGGAGCATTAACACCTGTGACTTTGGACTCCTGCAGCTCAGACAAAAGCCACAGAACAACATGAAACCGACGCTGTCTGTCTCCACTAAGCCCCTGGCATGTCTTTTCTTCAAAGGCAAAAAAGGGGGGAATTAAAAAAATAAAAAAGCTTTTTGGCAGCCTGACAGGTCTTTGTGGTGAATGTCTGCTCTCATTTTGCTCTACATGAAGCTGGATCGGTTTCCAGGGAGGGCTAGGGGCTGTGCGATTAGCATTATTCCTTCAGCTCGTCTGTAATTCTAATCTTCAGAAAGAAAAGGCCACCTTTAAGAATGTTCAGATCTATAAATCATACTTTTAAATAATAATAAAATAAATCTGTCAAATTTGAACTTTAGTATTTTACGTTTTTTCGCTGTTTTTTTTTTTGGGTTTATGTTGTTTTTTTAAGAATTTAAGCCAATTAGTTATCCATACTCCTAAAGATATTTCCAATGATTCCTTAGAAGAACATAAATACCATTTCACATTCTATGCTTTTATGAAAAAATAAATAAAACCATTGGAGTTTCTTTGTCCTAACTGATACTCATTTGGTTTATTAACCTTTTAGAGAGATCTTACCTCCCTTTTCTGACCAGAAACTTGATTGAATGAAAATTATTTACAATTTAACAGGAATATAAATCATAACGGTCTAACTAAAAATTATTTAACTTGCAAAAACTTACTGTTAAATGAGATATCTTTGGGTTGGCAAAGCATTAAACAAGCTTCAGATACCCCTTAACAGCACCGTCAGGTGAGAACCTGAGTTATACAAATAAACCCTCCTTATGAACCTACCTCTTCAGGTTAATTGGGAAGAATGTTGGATACGGAAACACCCAGCTGAGCAAAATAAACAGCCTTTCAATATGGCTCTTATAAAATCAAGATAAACTAAAATATGGACAGTTCCAAATGAGGCAGATTGGAAATACTTTCATCTTGTTTTAGTTATTCTTAGTTTCTTTAAAACAGGCTTAAACCAAAAAGCTGATAAGAAAAATATTTGGAGTCCTTGTTAAAATTTGGAATTCATTCAAACCAAAAACATACAAGAGATTTATGAATTTTTAACCAAAAAAAAAAAATTTGAAAAAAAAGAAAAGGTTCTAGTTGTGACTTATTTCACTCTAAAGGTATTTAAAAGCTACAGAGACTCACGTTTATACTCACGTGTTTAATAATGTCATGAGGAAGCTGTTTATAGCTGGTTTTAAGATCAGTGCTATTTTTTTATTACATCACTCTATCAGATATATGCTGCCAATATTTGTGGGATGATTCTTGGAACCGTTACCGCTTTTTAGCCTTCTTTTATTTACATGATAGAAATAACTAAGTATTATCAAATGTTATGCAGGTCTCAATTTAAGCAAAAATAAGAAACTTCTATTAAAAAAACAAACAAAACATTGACAATTTAATGACCAACGGAGGGATTTGCACTGTGTGCATCTAACAAGATCCCAAGACCTGGCTGTTGAATTCATCAAAGAATGCACATATGGGTTGATACTGATAAGAAAAAAAAAACTCCTTTTCAAGTAAAATCCAAACCACTGCAGTCTTTACATGAGCAGTAAAAACTCACCACCACAAAAAAAAAACTACATCCTCAGAAGACATTAGTCACTGTGACAACCACAGCCTTTACCTAGGAAATCCCAAAGCAGCAACCCAATCCATTCACGTAACAGACTCTGATTCAGAGCTTCTACCTCATTAGCTCTGAACTCTTGGATCCAGTCTCGTCTACCTGCAGTGATTAGCGTCCCTTTCTATTTATAGACATGCGATTTTATCCGAATCCATGGACATCTCCTTAGGAACACCTTAACACGCTAGCTCTTTAATCCCTGTAAGACACTGCTTTTCTTTTTAAAGGAGCCTGAGGCTTAAAGCATTTTAAGACTAGTTCTGACTGCCTCTTTGGTCCATCATCTGTGAGTTTCTACAACAGTAAAAAGCTCTAACAATCTAACATTATAAAACAATACTTTTGAAGAGGCAAGAATATGTGAATTATATCAGTCAATAAAAGAAAGCTTTCAGCTTTATATATATATATATATATATATATATATATATATATAATAATTTAAAAATTGTCTTGGACCATACAATATTACTCAGTTATAGAAATCCAGTTGCACTTGGTATCACTAGGGTTAAGGTCAACAAATTCTAAGCTCTAAATCACACAATTAAAAACTTAGATATATATACATCTCTGGGATAGGTTACACACGCTCTTCCATGTTTTACCATGCAACAACATTTATGCATCACTTACAAGTTGTAAACCCATTTTTTATTGAACTCCTTGCTGGGATTTAAAGGTGAATGACCAAGAAATTTACACATCAAAGAAAATAAGTAAGCATACTTAAGGTATTGCAACAAAAATTTAGATTTAAAAATCAGATCCCGTCCTAAAACAATTAATCCCTTCTGAAAAAAGCATTAAATAATGCCTTTATCTAGCAAAAATAACTGGAACAGTTTAACTCAAAGATTTTGCTTAATGGCAACTTTTCAAATTGAGTTATTAGGTTATGTTATTAAATTACAGGGATTGATACTGTCCAAAATACTTTTACTATATATGAAAAGTTTTGAGGTTCATTATCAAATTAATAAATCTAATCTGGATCTTATATATAAACAGATTATATAAATATAATCTGTTTAGTTTAAATGCAGAATCTTTTTGATAAAACTTCTGCACACATCTTCACCACAGTTTCTCTACAAAACATAGATTCTCTGTACTTCCATTTGCATTTGATACTAGATTACACTTTGATCCTGTTGTACTATTACAGATGATAATTTCTCCCTTCAAAAATGACTGATCTACAGACATGCAAAATTAAAAACAGCCTGGCTCAATGCAGCCTTGGTAGTTAAAATGGATTGTCATGTTTTTGTGTTCTCGCTGTACACAATTCTTTAAACCAACAAATAAACCAACAAAAAAAACTGTGCATGGTAAACACATGGCTGCAAAAAATAAGACGCCAATGTTTGTCCCATATAAAAAAAGCAATGTTAAACTTCTGAACAGGAAACTTCTGAGTCCTAAAAAACCTTCTAAAAGAAAAAAATAAATCACTGGCAGTGAACATGTTAATGCTTCTATTGTGCTGATTTAAACAGCCTACTATACAATGGGGAATGCATCAACTAACCTTTCTAAGCAGGTGGAGAAAAAAAATGCAGAATTGAACGCCTTTCATTATTGCTTTTATTTACAAATTTTACTTCAAGCTCCTCTGTAGCATTTAAAAATACCTGAAATCAAAACAAACCAAAATTCAATATTATCCTATAGAAGCTGCAAAACGCCAACCTGTAGCCAGATAAGCAGATGTCATTTCAGCCCTCCTTTCACAGGTAAACAAACATAATACCAGCTAGGGGAGCCATAAAAAACAGAGACTAAAATCTTCATTAAATATCCCCGCAGTTAGCTCCTGTACTTTGCGATCCAGAATATTTATTATAAGGGTGACTCACTTCCATGAATGCTTTGGTTCATTGCCTTAGTCATATGTGGTTTAAATGAGCAACATTTGATAACATCAATAAAAGCTACATTCATTCCCCTAAATGTCTCCCAGGACTCGCTGATTTCCAAACCAGATAACCGATGAACAAATATCTTTCCACACTGACAGCATTGATGGGATATTTAGGCAGATAATAATAATCAGACCCATTCATCAAAGCAAAACAAACTAGAAGCTAAACAAGTTCACTTTTTTCCCTCCATCCAACTCAATGAATAAAACGCTGTTTCAACTTTTAAGGCAGAAGGCAAAAACATTTTAAAAAAACAAGCTACCACAGCGCTTGTTTTTCTTCTATTTAAACTAAAACTCCTGCATGGTTGAGTCTCTGACCTTCCTTGTAGACTCAACAACAGCAGCTGGACTGTTTCACGTTAAGGCTGCAAAACAGCCCTAAAACAACCTGCCCCCCCACCACCACCTTGCATAAAATCTCTGAAGCCATTGCACAGACATTCCTGGATTCTGCAGTGTTAAAAAAGATCTCTGCAGGAGTGTGTTTGCACACGTGTCTATGCGCACGTACTGTGGTAAAGTGAGGAGAATACAATTCAGGTAAATCATTATCCTGATGTGAGTCAGTGGTCTGTTTACCTTAGCGTCCAAGACGCTGCTGGAGCCTGATCCAAGCACTCACGCACACACATTTCTATTTTGCTACATGTAGTTAGAACCATGTGTAGACTTCCATTGATTTTCAGTCATTTCCAACCCTTTCTATATGCTAACCCTCACAATAACTCTAACCTAACCATTAACAGTGCAATCATATCCTTAACCTAATCTCACATCTTAAATAAAAGAAGTTAGGACCAGCAAAATGCCCTTATTTTGCTATAAACAGTCCTCAATTTGATGGTGAAATGGAAAAAAATTGTTCCCCACTCTGACGCCGAGACAGGAGCGCACGCAAACACTTTCAACACCTCTGTGAGGCACACATGAGGTCGGTCAGGGGCTCAATGGTGAACAGGTGTGCCTACCCTGCAGGTGCTTCACCTTTTTTCACAGCCAAGCTGACAACAAACACCCACCCACTGTGTTCTCTCTCGCCATTAAGCAGTTGGCGTTTGGAGCATATCAGTGCTATAAATGCACTCCATATCACCTCCTACACATAATGGTAGGAACTAGAAGTATCACCACATGAAAGAGTTTTTTTATTTTTATTTTTTTACTCTCAGAATGAGCTTCCAAAGGAAGCATCAAAGTTACTTATTATTATTTATAAGTTATTTATTTGATTGACTTTTCCACAGCTCCAAATGCGCCACCAAACACTACAAAGCACACAATGCATCGGGGCATTGCTCTACCTTTGACCTGTTGTTCAAACAAAGCAGAGGGTCACTCCTCCTGTCAGTGCTGCAGTCAGCACCCCATCCGGAGAACAAACCCCCGTTTGTTCTCCGTCCTAACTTCCCCCGCTGTTTTGCAAAACCCCACAGTACCTAAGGGTGGGTTGAGGTGTGTTTCCTCCTCCAAACACATGGTGAACCTTTACATAGTTATTAGCTCAAAATTTCCACAGAGCAAACTGTGCCAACCTTTTCCTTAACTCTGAAACTGGTGCTCTCCCGTCTTATGAGCAGATTCCAGATTAGTATATCCTGAATTAACTCTTTCTGAGCTGCACTTTAATAAATAGATCAACACCCACAGGGTCTGGTGCTCTCTGTAAAAAGCTTGCCTACTTCCGTGGCTTGCCCAGAGTTCAGCTAATCCCCCATGCGTGAGCCAAATACCATCTGTGTTTGTCCGGCAACAAAGGGGGCACTTGTTAATGACTTTCCATGTCTTCACTGGAGTACTGCACAGGGTGGGGGCCGAAGCATTTAAGGGGGGGGGCGAGGAAACAGCAAGTCAGTCAAAACTCCAGTCCACAACCATGCATGGATGGTGACATCATGAGAATCCCTCAACTGGTTTCATTGTTTAGTTTTGTTTTTGTCCTATAAAAATATCTGTTCCACACATGCATTCACAAAGAATTTTTTTTTAACAGACTCAGCAGTTTGAGCTTTTAATCAGATTTACTCCTTAACCGATCAAAAAGGAAAACCTTGTTTTAAATCCCCTTTGGCCATAAACGAAATAAATGTGAAAATAAGACATTATGAACTGTAGGAGTTCATGCATCTCAGGTCCTCCTCTATATTTTCTTGCGTGGTCTAAAGAAAATGCAACAACGCACAGAATAAATGTAAGTAAATAGTGATGATCACTAGTATTTTATTGCTACAAAAAAACAAAAACAGCAAAGCAAAAAGAAAAAACTACTTCTCATGCCAACTTGATGAATATATCGATACGTAATCCTTTATTAAAGTTTCAGAAGTGTGATATAAAACAAAGTATCTGAATTGAAACAGTGTAGATCCATGCTTCGAGCATGTTTGGCAAGCTTTGAGTTGAACTTTGACCTGTAGGATAATCCCTTTCACTGCCTGCGCTTTAAATTAGCCGTGTGACACGCCACTCCTCCGAGCCTGTCCACAGACTGTTCACTTTTTAGCCTCTAGTCTTACAGAGACTTTTTATTGGGTTTACGGACTTCATTTCCTATATACTACAAGTATTTTGTCTTAAATAACTTTTGACATTTTGTATAGACATAGTGTATACAAAGCCAAATTTAATTTTGTAATGCTTTTTGACAGTAAGAAATTGTCGAGAGCTGCATCAAGCCGCTGCCTACAGGCGCTGCCATGTCATTTAATGGGAAAATATGACTGATTATATCCTAAACCCAATCTCAAACTGCATTAAGCGTTTAAAAGGCATCAACAGACTAATAGAAATAACACAATAAAAAGGTAATAACTTTGATCATCACATTAAACCAGTCACATCTCTTCATGTCTGTCAGCTACAGGAACTCGCTAAGCAGAGAAAATTTGGGCAGCAGGCAAAAACCAACAATCCTCGATGGTGCAGGCCCTTTTTTTCCAGCTCGCTCAACTGTTAACTGTGTTCTTTGCTCTGCCTTGCAACTGCATGTGGATCAAAGCAGGCGTGATGGGACGACGCCTAAACGAGGCCTCTTTCTAAAACCAACAGCAACTTTTATAATACCTACTGGTTTCCATGGCCTTCCTCCTTTTGTAATAGGAAATAGGAAGAAAGTCATGACTCAAGTCATTTTGGACTTTTTTTTTTGCTCCTTTATCTGCTGAACTCTGAGAAACATTCCTCAGTTCATGAATGCTTGACAGAAAGTTTTGTGTTCTGTCAAATTACAACATTTTGTATAATTTTTTTTATTTCAATCTACAAACAAAGAATCAAATAAATCCCATACTTGCAAGAAAAATAAAGAAGCTCTATCACTAAGCTACATTTTTGGACAATCACCAAAGAGTTCAAGCCAAGCCTTTAGACAACAGAAATCCTCTAGCCTGCAGTGACCTGGGAGGAGACCATCCATAACAAGTTCCAACCGCTAACCTGATGGAGAAAGAATGACCTGAATGTAAAGCCCAGTTTGATCTGTGTGTGTGTGTGTGTTTTGTGGTTTCCTCCAGGCATTGATCTATATGTCGACTCCTGGAATGCTTTTATTGCCAAAGCCACGCCCTCACACATACTGCTAGATGAGCACATGTGTGTTGGTCACACCAGTTCAGACAGAACGTTTACTGACTGAAATCAATGCTAAACCCAGACTTCAGCAGACTAAGGTCTCATTAGTGTTGTCTGTAGGCCACTACTGTCAATCACTACTGAAAGTTGGTAAAAGTCTCAGTGCTTTTAAGCCAACAGTTCCTGTTGCTCATATTACATTTAAACTCTTCTAAAACAGGTAAAATATCCAGGGATGAAGATGTTGATATTCTCCAAAAGAGTCACTGTATGTGCTTGAATAATCGATTCCTCTAATTAGACAGGATCCTGTGTCGGCTCCGGCTGATCACGTTACCTGTGATGACGTTGATGTCCGGATACATGCTTTCACATAGCTCCGCGCCTTGGCTGTCTCTCTCGAAGGCCTCACGCAGCTCCTTTTTTACCGCTGCAGAGCCGCATAGGCGATAGAGACCCACCACCTGGGACAAGAAACACAAAGAGACACATTTTAGTCAAATATTTAAATTGAAAGAAGGCAGAACATTTTACATACCTGATTTGATTTAGTTGAATCAGAGTTGGATAAACTGAATGAAACAAGTTTTGATAAATGAAACTTATTTGTCACCATTTCCTCCTATTACTTTTATCTGAAAAATCAAAGCTGTTAATTTTATTTCCTTCCCCTTGTTTTTCTTTGTCCTGTTTTGATTCCAGACATAGCTATTGGCTCAGCTTGTATAGTAAATAACTGGATATCCAATCTTTCATACTTTTTGACATGAAAACCAGCTCAGAGCTCATTTGCTTATTGTAACAAGAGCACATCTGTGCTAGGTGTGAGGCATTGCTGCCAAGCCAACACCATAATGCAAGCATATTTTTACTTCTGCCTCATGCTAATCGAGGAGGAGCGGATCCTCCTGGATGAAGAGGTCAATGACTCCATGAAGACAATGAGGTCAATGACTCAATGCAATCAGCTGGGTTTCCTTAGATGGAAAGCTCTTAAACAATCTGCCTGTATGATCTGATTGAATTGCCTCTTTAAAGTCCGTTGAGATAAAAAAAATGGTGAAATGGTGCTATAAGGATTAACTAAATTGAATCTGTCATCAAATATTACTAAAAAGGTTACATTCAACCACACTAGCCTCTGTATTTCTTCTACATATCTAGATCCATTTTCCCCACTATCTTGTATTAATGAGTTTTATTTTGGGTTAAACATTTTCAGGAAGCAATAATACCAAACCCATTTTTACAGAAATGTTCAGGAAATAAATCTATTTCTATCTAGTCAGGGTAAAGATCAGCGGTGTTCAATCCCAGCCCTGCAGCTTTCAGATGCTTATCTCATTCAGAACACCTGGTTAAATAAAGTCATTAGCAGGACTTGACTTGTGTACTGGGGAGGTAAATTAGCCATTTGATTGGAGTGTATGGAAAAAGACCCCTGGTACTGAAGAACAAGCATTCGTCGTTGATAAGGGAAAAAAAGGGGTTATCAAAGTCTTTTAAATGATCGGTAGTTAGCTCAGAATATTCCTAGATTGGATTCTTTTTGGAAGTTAATGTGTCAACCTGTTCCATTCTTAAAAGGAGTACTTCTCCATAAATGTTAATGCTAAACAGCATAAAACCGCTGCAGAGACTCAGTAAAGTAATGTGGTAATATGAGTTACGCAGTAACAACCCTCTAAAGTGAGTATTAACTTACATGGGACCCTGGGAGTTCAGATAAACAGGTTAAATTTCCATCCCATAACCCAGCAGTTTGAAAAATGCTTAAATGAGAACCATTCTGATGGAAATTGAAAACACGTAAAAGGCTCCCAGAGACCTGACAAAAAAAGTGCCAAATCCTTTTGACAAAGTGTGTCAAAGTTAACCTCCTATTAAGGCCCAGGTGACAACTGAGCATTGAAAATGAAAGCTATGAGCCATCTCTGCTTGTTTACCTAAGCCTCCAGACTGTGACCTAAAGGGACTAGAGACACCTGATAGCTGAAACTTGGCACTGTTGCTTTCCTTGTTATACTGGGATTAGGTCTCTCTGCAGACATACCATAATTTCTCCTACATGTGTCTGTCTGGTATGTGGCATAGCTGGCCAACTGGTGTGGTTGCCCCAGTAACATGTTAAGTCAGTGGGCTGTGAATGGCGGCTCGATTCCGGTTGTGCGTACACATCAACACACACCGCCAGTCTTTCCAGGCTCCAGCGTAGGAGCAGTACCATGTCTTTCTGTCCCAACAGAGATGTTGCTGCATAGCTGCCCTTGCAAGGCCCAATGGCGTTGCTTTTTTTGTATTTTTTCTTAACCTCACACAAGAGTGAGAGAGAAGGACAGATTAGGCATTTGGCTTTGTGTGTGTGTGTAAATAAAAGTCACTGGACACAATGAACAACAAGTCTATTCAGAAATAAAAAACATGGTGTCTCTCTTTGAGTGCAGGCAGAGAACAGCTGTTGGCAAAAAGAGGGCCTGCTCTTATGCTGCGCGGCTGCCGGGCAACACAACAGGCTGGGCTGGCCAAGACCTATTTGTGGAGCAAATCAGGGACAAGGACCTCAGCACAAAACGGGCTGAAAAGAAGAGTGGATGTAAATCAGGTGGAGTATTTTCCTGCTCTGGTCAGCTGTAAGACTAAACTAAACAAAAGAGAGCTTAATAGAGAAAAAGTAACACGAGCAAATGTGACCAACTGTTTGACTAAGTTTGAAAATCTCATTCCTCTTCTGGCCAAAGGGAACTATTTCTGAAAATATCCATAGTGCTGGAACTGAGTGGGTGATGTTGCCTTTTTAGTCAGTATCAGGTAAATGTGAATAGAAATCCATTCTTAATATGATATAGTACAAGAGTAGCAGAAATAACTCCTTTTTACTAGAACGTTATGCTGAATACCGTCTCTGAACCACAATATGTTGAACTCTGAGAAGTGTAGGGTTCAATTTGGTTAAAAGTTCTGGTATCGTTCCAGCTTCGCCTCCTGTATCCTAACAGCAAGAAACCACAGGCTCACCAAAATTAAACAGCAGATAAAAATGTTGCCTTGCCCTTTGAGTCTCCATCTCAGCTTTAACATTTAGATAGCAGGGTAAGAATTTGTAGTAAACAACATGATGCTATTAGTCTCTTCTGCCTTAACAATTTATGCAGTTGGTGGTTGGTCTAATGGATAATAGGATATTTTCTTGATATACCTTATATCCACCAGCTTAACATTGTACAAACACATAAGTCTACCTAAACATAGTTGTCCATCCCAAGATGACCAAAGGCTTCTAATGGCATGTTCCAGCAGGAATGACGCCAACATCTCAATTATAGTCAATCTAGTTTCTTGAAGATGTCTTGAGTTCCTTTATGCAAAATTCCCATTATAAAAACTTTGTATCAGTGATATGTGTCCTGAAGCCCGCGTATGAGATTTACAGATGAATAACAAATTGAACCTCTCTCATTGCCTTTCTCCACCTCTTAGCTAATGCGTGCTCAAAATGCTCTATTTGAAAAGCCTTCCCTTTATGATGTCATGAGGGGAAATGTGCTGTCCAGAAGGGGAAATGTGCTGTCCAGAACGGTCTGTATTAGTCAATCGTTTCATGCTGCGGCCTTCATTTAAAGTAATATTTCATGCTCCTAGGCTATTCTTACAAACTCTGACTGGTTGTTATGGTTGCAGGTGCACGGCCTTCAGACGGACCGGGACGTGGAAAGCCAAAACCTCTTGTCAATAGGAGGACTGAATAAGGAGATTTTTGGTAAAGACCGTCTGCCTGATCTGAGAGGTATTTTCCTGCACAAAAAGCAAAAGCATGCTCTTGGGGCCTCATTGTTAACATTTTTATTTCAAAATGTACCATGATATGGGACCTTTAAATAGGCTCCACAATCGTCAGATGCCAATCTAACAGTGTTATTTTGGGATGTGGTCCAACACACACATAATACCATCACAAATATGTAGCCAAACAGCTACAGCAACTGCATTTTCTTTAAAATGAATATGGTCCCAAATCTCAAAAGAATGTTTCTTATACTTTGTTGAATTTATACCATGAATAATGCCCTAACAGTACCACCAAGGACTAATAAAGTGGCCTAATATTGTGTATTCTGTGGGAATAGTAATGTAGATTTTATTCATTTAATTTTCCCTGGCCATTTAAGGAATCAGGAAGTTTTTAGAAATCTATTTGTTATTCAGGAAGACCATACTGTTACATGCTACTAGTAAGAAGTTTAAGATCATCAACAAAATATATTAGGACTAGTAGTTTCACTTTTGAGCTGCAGTTTTTAAAATAACTTGAAACTATCCCTGCAAGACAAAGTATCAACATGGAGCATACTCTAAAGTTTATTCCCTAAAGGTATTGTGGAGGATTTTGAATTTTTTAAAAGACCCGCACTCTCCACTTAAAAAACAAAATGCACATGCACAACCCTGTACCCGCTCTGGAGAGGGAATGCCAATTAAACGCATGAAAGAGCATGTACAAGCCCATTTCTCCTTATGCACACTCTGTTTAAAAGTTGCTGTTCTCATAGCTAATTCAAGCTTACTGTGCCCCAATGTCCACCCTAACCCCTAAATCCATCAATCACTATATAGAGCAGCACTAAATAGTGGACTTTATGCAAACTCAGTTAACTGACCGTTGAGACAGATGATCACTCCTCCACTGCGCGGTGCCTGTGCCATCTTTGTTATTAGTCGCCACTTTCGGGTAAGACAGCGAATGGCAACAGCAGGCCGCTGTTACAGCAAATCCCATAATGCTGTGCGAGGAGAGCTCTCCACGTAAAGCATTCCAGCATAGTTCTGACTCTTCTGAGGACTTTCTTTTCTTCTCTTACGCTTCGTAGACACTTATTGTCTTTTGGCCCTCAGCTATTTTCAAAGAACCGCGGTGAGAAAGATGAGCTTCCGTGACGGTCTGAAACCGTAGCTCACCACAGATATATGCCTGAAAGTGCGCATGCCCAGAAAAAGATAGCTAACTCGGGACGAGCAAGTAGGAGGGCCTTATGTAAACATATCACCAGAATGATTGACAATTAGGAGGACCACTTATTTAGATGATCCACCCAGAAGTAAAAGACCTTTAATACACAGCGGCCTGGCTCCTGGCCTAAGGGGTAACCCTCACTTTTCACCTTCTGTTTAACTTAGTCAAACCTAATGAAATTTGTTTTGTTTTTTTAATCCAAAGGATAGCTGAACATCTTAATTTAGGACAGGCCCAATTTGTATAACATAAGTTATCTGATTAATGAATATGTAACCTAACTATGGAGATAGGGCTATACCTCCCAGCAATGTCACCTCCAAGATAGTGAAAAAAAAAAAAAATCCTCAAAAATATTAGCGTAATATCTGCATTATTACCTTTGCTAAGAAGGTTATGTTTGAGTCTAGTTTGTGTCTTTATTCGTCTGTTCGTCCATTAGTTTGTGTTCAATTATTTTTTTTTACCAAAGGTGCACCTCAGTCCAAGAAACAATCCATTAAACTTTGGTGATGATCCGCATCATAATCAGCGTGCAGGAATTTTTAAAGGGATAATTTAACATTATTTGGCGAAACAAACAGTTCCCCTCTAAACGAGAGAGTGGCAGCAGTGGCTATTGACAGCTACAGCATTGTACTCAAAAAAGTCCAGATGTATTTTACTGAAGACAAAAAGAGAGGAAGGTGAGCCAAGCCTCTCTCGTTGTTTTGATCTGCTAATTAAAGAAGAAAGCAGAGCGGTGGTGAGAGCAGAACAAACACCACAGGCTGCAGACACATACTGTGCCTTACTTATGAACTTATGAAAGGATTTAAGGAAATTTTTAACCAGGGGTATCACTCATGCTAAGAAATGGTTCATTCAAATTTGGTAATGATCCAGATTGTGTGTGAGTTTTAGCTATACTGTAGCTGTATGTTACAATATGGGGCTAAATTTGCTGCTTGGCAGAGGTCTGCGCTCTCCGAGTGCTTCTAGTAAGAAATTGTTTCATCAAAATGAATGGACACCTGAAGGTATGCAATGATGCCTGCAGAGGCTGAGTCAGAGTAGAGCTAACAAAAGAATAGTCATTAATAGACATGGAGGCGAAATATATCTCCATTCTCCTGATATGAAAAGAGGAAAACAAAACAGCTCCTGGGGGAACTCATTATACAATTTTAAGAAAATTAAACTAAAAACATTTTTCAGTTCGAGACATCTAAGTCTTTGAGAGAGATCAGATGATTAAATCTATCCTAACTTGATCATATCTGTTTATCAAATTGTTCTGCAAGTGCTCTGAAAAATGTCTACATGCTGAAATCCTTCATCTCCCTTCCCCCTGCCCTGTATACCAGATCATGTGCAGGGACTCTGAGGTGCCATCAAGACAGTCATGAGATATTATCTCTACTTCAAATCCTGGATCTGCCCCAAAGCCTCCTCTCAGCATGACATGTCTACAAAAAATCTGGTTAGGAAGGTGACCAGATGGTCAAACCCCCTTAAACAGTGGGAGCTTTTTACACATAGCTAAGGTACAAACCCTTTTTGACATAAAAAAAAAAAATAAATAAATAAAATCACATTTGGAAACCCTTGGGTTTGTGTTTAAATTGTTAAATTCAAAATTAGCTAATGGTTCATCTTACATAACAGCCTCTCTCAAATCTCAAACCTTTTATTTTTTTCTCTCAGGCAACTGGGCTGGATATGATGATTGAAAGGGGATTGGAGCAATGAGTGCAACTGGAAAACTGATGATTAACCAGTCAGCACCAAAAGCAAGGCTAACTCCGGTGTGAAGCAGTTGTCAAGCTAGGTGATTTGTTTGTCAGTTTAATTAATGCTTAAACCAACTTCCTACTGTAATTTTTCATGCCCTTCCTCAAATTGTTCATTATGTTTCCAGCCACCTGCTTATAATGTCAATGCAACTCATAGCATAAGCCACTGATAGCTTGACACAAGGTAATTATATTCTTAAAAACTTTACTGATTGTAATAATTTTATGTTGTGCCCATAAAGGATGTGAAATAGCTCAGTCAGAATCCGTGCAGCTGTTTTCTATACACCTCAGTTCAATCTTCTTAATCATAGATGATCTGCTTGTACGGTAGGTGACATAAAAGCCTCCTCTAAAAATGTCTTTCAGACAAGCCCATCAAAGTACCTGCACTCATCTAGGATCTTAAAGGCTTAGAAAAGCCTTCAGGATACATATTTCAGCAAGACCATCTGAGGAGAGAGGCTGCGTAAAAGATGCAAGCAAACATGAGTTTTGGGGGCAGAACCTGCTAAGACCTCCTGGAATGTGGCGTCAACCCCATGCCTAACCCCTGTCTACCTGCCACACAGAAGACCCCTGGAGTTGATCTGCGACTGATAGCTGCTCTAATGAAAAAAAGGCAAGAAAACAAAAAGATTAGAGGAAAGGCTCGGAGCGATAGAGGACAAACATGTCAGACTGGAATCCACAGACAGATAAAAATCACACCACTGGAAGGTAACACAGCTAAAACACAAGGAGTTTGAGATGTTAGATTTAACAAAAAATGCTAAAAAAAATAATTTAGGACTAAAACAGTAATCATTGATAATTATATATTTACCAATTCAATATTAAAATATTTAGCATTGTCGCAATGTAACTTTTGAATTTCAAATACGATACCAATACTGCAGCTTTAAATGCAGACCAGTATGAATATTGATCTGATATAATATCAGCACCAATCAAACATTCTTTTACTACTTATATTGTAGTGTGGAATGTTAAAAACAGTTTGATCAAGTAAGATTACTCAGAGAACAATAGTCCACAATAATGTGTATGAGAATAGTTGACCCATGTATTATTAATCTATGGGTAACATGAACTTCAAACAAAATCGTTTTTAGATATCGCTGTTGAAGATAAGGATGGTTTTAGATGAGTAGCTGCTTTACTGTAACTGTTCCCTCACTTATAAAAGTCAACAAAAACACATTCTCATCTTCCTATATGTAGTGAGGACCATGTGTTGACTCCCATAGATTTTTTTTTTCCATTTCCAACCCTTTCTATGCCCTAACCCCAACAATCCTAACTAAATATCCTAACTTTACGACAACCGGTCCTCAGTTTGATGGTGAAATAAAAAATAGTTCTTTCAGGTACACACTTTAATAAAATTAAACAATCAATGTTCCCTTTTCTTAAGGAATAACTGAGAATAATGCATCCCTTTTTATTGCAGGGAAACAGATTATAATTTGCTGCAAAAATAGAACTAAACATAATTTTTGTTAAGGCAAGAGTAACTATTAAAATGTTCTCTTAAAGCTTTACACACGCAAATGCACTTCACTTTCCCCAACTCCCGATGATGTAGCTGCCCAATGTTTGTCCCGGAGATAATTGGAAGTGCCAAAACTCTTAATTCTTAACAAGAATCCAAAAATGTTTACCTTCTTTTAAACTGCATAACTCATAATGTTCTTTAAAAGCAATCCTCAACAGGTAACATATTAATGTAGTGTTAATCAGTAACACAGACCAGCTGCTGAAAAGCAATAAGAAAAAGCAACACTAGCTTTTCTGCATGATAGAGAAAACATTAGGCCTCACAAGCTTAAATAATAAAAAATATAATGGGCGGAATAAAGAGTAAAAAGTTTGATGATATTTTAAAGAAAACTTAGAATATCTATTTTGCTTTTGGTACTATAGAAATCTCCACTTAGTACAGAAAGATCATGTCCAGTTCCAATCTCTGTTTGTCACTATCCTGGGTGATTGTAATGCAAAAACAACTGATAAAGCATCATTCAGATTTATAAATTTCATGAATTTTAAGAGTCCTTCAACGAAGCTTCTATTCAGTGTAGAAGTGTTCAGAAGGATTTTGGTAAGAATTTAACTACGGTATATGTTTTATGTTTCATAGTAAAGGTGATCAAGTAATTGAATGTATAATAGAGACTTGCTAATGAAGCTAAACTATGCTGACAACTGAAACGTAACTGAACAGTTATACCACATTAAAAGTATAGCATTTTACATTTCTGTCCATACCTAGCTATGACACGTTTACTGTACTTTAAATGTAAATTTAATAAGGAAGCTAACAAATGGGTTATGTTGGTAAAACTCCAGATGTTTAGAAAGTGGAAGCAGATTATATTTTAATGAACAAATTTATTAAGAAGGCATAATTATTTACCTATTTTCTTCCTTCTACCCCCATTTAAGAGCATCCCACTCTTCTGTCTGTATAGAGAGGTCAGGATTCTAAAGTAGGGCACACAATAAGAACTGATTGTATGATCCTAAAGAAAACTCCCAGGCCTTCTGGTCCCTGCTACATGAGTGTCTTAACTATTCTGTCTTTCTTCTTTTTGAATAGAAGATCCTGTTGCCAAAGGCAGAAACTCTGTGACATTATGTCTGCTGCATTTCAATTCATTCAGCAATATTACTTGCTGCAGGGCAAGCACTCATCACCCAACATTAAAAAGGATGCTATGAGTGTGTGTGGTTATTTCTTGAGCTACTCATACCATGCTTTATTTAAGAAACGCAATTTGTCATAGTAGTTTACTTTGACCTTGGGCGGATTTTTAAGCAAAGCAAGGCCTGGAAGTCCAAAGCAAGACACTCACAAGGCATCCAGGACAAAAATTTGAACCAACTTCACCAACTCATTCTGATGAAGAGTGACTGCATCAAAGGGAGTCAGAAAGGAGGATGACAGCTTCTCAACTTTTCTTTGTGGCCACAGTTAGGAGGAGACTCATCTTTATCGTTTTGAAGATATCTTCTTTTGATCATGATCCAGCATTACATAAATTGGCGGATAAATATAGAGTTTTGATTTTTGGCTCAGGTCTTTCCTCACCACAACAAACCAGAGAAGCTCCACCATTACTGCTCACAAGCCCCCAGTTTATCCATTCATATCTCGCTTAGTCATAGTATTATTCATGAACAAGACGACAAGATATTAAAACGCCTCTGCTTGGAACAAATGTACCCGAGATCACAATCTCCAATAGCTCTAACCTGAGTTAAAGAATCAGTCACTTAAAAAAAATACATTAGAATAAAGACTTGAAATCGTTTAAAAGCTGCAAAACTGATCACCATTAAAATAAAGGTAGAAAACACTGATCGTCAAAGTCAAACTTCAAACTTAATTACCTGGCATCCTCTTCTCTCGATCTCGTTGATGCACTTCCATATGATCAGTGGCACCAATAGCCCAGTGTTTTCCCTCTCCACGACCCGCCACGCCTCCACTCCAAACACCTGTGGCTCCCTGTCTCCGTCTGGTCCACCGTCCAACGAGTTCTGCCACTGTTCCAACAAGTTCAGCTTGACGTAGATCAGCCCGCGTGGCTCAAGCTTCACTGCCAGCTGATGTGTACGTGTTACTCTGAAGAGAGCAGGCAGGACCACCGTGCCATGGCAGCAGACACGGTTCCGTTTGGGCGTGGGTTCCCAACTGAACACCACAAGCTTTAGGTGCTGGGCGTTCTCCAACTCAATGTTAAAGGTGTGATCCATATCCAGGAAGGATGTTCGACAAGTGAGAAGAGCAGTTCGTGCTTTATTAACGGAGTCAACCTGAATTGCACAGTAAACATCACGGGAGTCAATGCGTGGAGGTTTGAGGTCCTCAGCACCGTAAAAATGGAGACTCATCAGTCCAGAGATATACTGGCTGCACTTGGGCTGATCTGTGAAGCTGTAATGACGGAAAGCATCAATGTCCAGCTCTGTGCTATTTAGTCTAGAACTTCCTCCCTCCGTCTCTTTGCTTTTCCCACCCTTCCCCTCAGCAGATCCGTGTTTACCAGATTTGGCAACCAGCTCTGGTGAGTCACCATCACTCAGGTAGCCTCCTTTGCTAGCTGACTTTGAGCTGCCATTAGTTTTCTTCTTGTTAAAGCTTTGCAGCGTTGAAACGCTGCTGTCAAGGTGATATCGGGAGATTACGTTACGGCTCGCCTGCCCGCCTCCGGATGGAACCAACCGAGGAGGGCCTGAAGTCTGAGAAACCGCGTCAGATCCACTGCCGTTGACCCGGGGAGAATGTGATCTTGGCTCTGCCTGATTGTTTCCACTGCTACTCGCACTGTTATTTTGGGTCCCTTTTACACTGAGTTTTCGACTAAGTTCGGGGAGCTTCTTCATCTTCATGGAAATCTTTCTGACTGTACGCGGGGACTTGATCTTGTCTGGGAAAGACCAGTTGATGGAGCTGCTCTTCTTGGTTGGGTTTGGGCTGGATGGAGGTGAGAAGCTAACAGCATTGGGCAGGTCAAGTCCATCTAAAATGGAAAAAACAGAGCAAAGGAAATCCAAATTAAATACATGATTAGCTATTCCACGCTTTTCTCCACATAATTCAGATTAGCAATGTATAAAGACCAAATCAACAAATCGGCACCATCATATCCTAGTTTCCCAAATCAGCATGACCTCTGCTTTCTCTATAGAATGTACCTTTTACCTGTGATTACAAGTAATTACACAATGTCTAGAGGAGAGACGGAAATAAGACATAAAACCAAAAGAAAGATACGTAGGACCCATAAATTACAGTCTCTTAGGAAGGTGGTACACCTTTATGGCATATCATCATATGATTAGACTTACATGCAGCCCAGTAATCCACTGGTAAACACAATCTCTGTGTTTACTGTATAGTACCGTTCTAGTCTCCATATATAAACCCAAGACTCTCTAAGAAAATAATCAACTACAAAGGAAAAGACTAAATTAAACAACATATTTTGTTAGGTCTACTTGTTAAAAAGACAAAGATATTAGCTTGTGTCCCATATCTGTGGAATTAAATTGTGACGACAGAAGATCAGTTGTACAACCATTTTTAAAAATTTGTCTACCCAATATGAATAAAATGTAACAGGAATATCATTCAAATAAGACGCAATTATTATTCAGAACAATCATGTGTTTGGCTTAAGCAATCTATGGCTAAAAATTCTCCATAGCCTATAAAAAATTAGATTTGAATTTTTATTACCGAATATTCTTTACAAAATATTATATATACAGTATATAAGTAAAAAGTTATTTTTGTTTACTCGCTTTAATTCACCGATTTGGAAAGCAGTTTTTAAATCTGTGTTTTTGTGCAATAGGCCTTATGGTTACTTGTAGACAAGATGTACATGCTGAACAAAAATTACAGCCTGGAAAAGGTTCCTCCTGATTTCAAATAGCCAGGAATTTGGAATACATTTCTGATTTCGGATTAGCCAAGTTGATGGAAAAAAAAAAAAAAGATGCAATGTAGAAAGCCAGAAAGCTTCTGCCAACATCTTCAGCTCTAGTTTTAGAGGAGACCTGCTGTGCTATTCTAGGGTGCTGGCCTGAGGAGTGAAAATACAGAGGTGTAACAGGATGTAGAGAGGGTAAGATGTGGAGAAGGAGTGGGACAGGGAGTAGCCCTGCAGATCAGGGACAAAGGAACCCCTTGTCCAGGCATTCAGAGGTCTGGAGGGTCGACTGCAAGGCTGGCAAGTTGGCTGGTAAACGTACAAATGAAAACAGCTTTTCTCTCAGATTCCTCATCAAACCGCCTTTTAGATAGATGGAGTGGTCTAAGTCTGCCATAGCGCCATGTCAGACATCCAGACAAAAGAGGCTCTGAGATTAAAGAATATAGGCGGAGGGCCCTGAAGGAGCTAATTTACCAAACAACATCAAGGGAAGGGGTGCAGTACAGAATTAAACAAGGCTTGTTCCTCAGTTAAAACTTGTTAGACAGACCAAAGTGTGAAATTGAAAAACCCATTGGGGCGCGCTCTCCACAGAACACAATTTTGGTCCTCCTCCTTGATTTACATCATACATGGAAAGTTGCTAACATGAGCTCAACTTGCTACCACTAAACTCGTCTCTGTTCTACCAAAATGGGCAATTCCAACAATCAGTGGCTGACCTGCAGTGAGTCGGCAAATGTTGATACTTGTGTAACTTATTATCTTTGTGTAAAAGAGTGGGAAACTATGGCAAAATAAACCATGGCAAGATGCTAACACCACGTCCACACAAAGTTACATACACACAAGTCCAACTTTTGTGTGTAGCCTTGCATGAAGAAAAAAAACGGGGTATAAGTGACCTCTACTAATAATAATAATTTAACTTTATTGATCTCACACTGAAGAAATTTGCCTCTGCATTTAATCCAACCCCTTTGGGAGCAGTGGGCTGCCATTGTGCAGCACTCGGGGAGTGGGGGGGTTAAGGGTTTTGCTCAGGAACCCAAAATGAAGGCTGTGGGGATCGAACTGCGTACTTGCAACCTTCTCAGAGCACAAGTGCACTGCTCTAACCACTATGCCAACACTCCCACAGATATAACCCCTGCAGGAGATTCTCGTCATTCAGTCAGCATAAGTTTAGTGCATATATCAGTCTGTTAGGAACTCCAGAATGGCTTAAACATAAATTTAAAGACACTTTCAGAGAGATTGTTTATGTAAACTACCATCTGATGAGTAATTTTACATATTTCTACCGCTTTATGCCCTTTATAAATATTAATGTAGTGTGTAGGAAAACTTATGTGATTTAATTCAGTTTACTAAGAGACAATTAAGTGGTCAGCATTGTCAATCAGCTGGGTACTCAGGCTGTTACATTTTTATGCCATGATACTAGTTTGAAAATCTTTCCAAAAGAAACTCCCAGGACTACTACTTAAAGAAAATTACGTAAACAAATTAACCATATAGCAAAAGTATGCAGGATATAAGGATTTTAGCTGTGAACACACACACTTTTAAAAGCTGGGTCCTTTTTAGCCTTTGGACCTGTGGTGGCAGCCAGCAGAGTAATGTAACACGTACAAGCTGCGGTTCAGGGGTGATGGTTTGACACTCAACCCTCAAGGGCTATGTTCTAGGGTCAAAAGGCCATGAGGTCCACATTCCTCTAGGTGTCACCTAAGCCATGTAACTCTATCCACCCAGCATTTTTACATGCACTTGCAGTCCCTACATTACTGTAACACAAAGAGAGAGTGCATATAGGCACAAAAAAACAGCAGACTGCAGCCCCTTGACCCTGCCACCCCCTCAGGCAGCCGGCCGCTGACAACCTTAAACAAAGGCAAGGAATTTATTACCCTAATATTTCACCACGCTAGCATTAAACAGGTGCAGGGTGAGGGCGTGCAGGTGATTTACAAACTTATCATTTGTTTTTCTGTTATTCTATTAGGAAACAAATTGCCCCTGCAGCCTACACCAAGATAGCTGGATGACCCAAGCTGTCCTTTGATTAAACATGTGCAGAGAAGACGATGAAAATGAGCCTCAGTAAAAACGGATAAGCATTGGAGGGAAGAAATACTCTGCTGCTGTTGATCGCCTCTATAAAAACACCCATATTTACTTGTGTGTCTGTTTTATAAAAACAAAAAAGCCAGAAGTGTATGTTAAATCTAAAACAGAAAAAGAGGCAATGGTGTGTGCAGACAAACATGGCAAGTGTAAATAAGGTGTGAATGACTTGTCTTGTTGTTCCTTTTCTCCAGGCCTGAGCTGCCTCCTTTTGACTTTGCTTTACATATTTCGGTTCTGGACGGTCTTTCAGGAGCTGCAGAAGCCCGGCTCTTGTTCTGGAATAGTTATGAAACCCCTGCTCATATAACCAAGCATGCAGACATCCCTGCTAGAACAACATGGCCTCCTGTCAAAGCAAAACTTATGTGATGTAATTCTTGTACTACTGCAGAAATTTAAGCCCTGTTGTAACCCGACAGACAACGTGGTGCTAATTCTGGTCAACACGTGACTACAGTGTAACAGTCCTTGGTAGGTGATAAACATTTGCGATATAATAATAAATTGTACACAAGCCCACATTTTATTACTTCCTCAATACATTACCGTAAATGAATATTCCGGCCAGTAATTTATCTAAATATTTTTTCTTGTGTTAAATCAATAGTGATTGGGCAAGAAATCAAATGGATGAAAATATTGAAGACAATCTGGAAAAAACTTTCTGAAACAGTTTGAAGAGCTAAGCAGTTCAACTATGCAAAGGTCTCCAACAAAGATAAAATATACACAGCAAGTAATTCAAGAGCAGCAAAATGAACAAAGTATCCAGAAATGTTATTTTTAACCATCTTTAGCATTTGATAATAGAGGTTAATAAGGGAAGAATAAATCGATCTCTAGAACCTGATCATATTCAGAACAGAGTGTAGATAATTGTTTTACCTTTAGGACTCTAAAAAGATAGCCTTTATTTCTAGGTTTCCCCTTTCTTTTTTTTCTTAGATATAGAGGTAGACTGACAGATACATATATATATATCTATCTATATATAGATAGATATCTTTGAATCATCTTGTTCCATAAATGAGTTGGTTTCTTGGTGTATCTCTGGGAAATATGATAAAAAAGAGGTATATCTTATTAACACCTTGTTTTTAGAATACCTTTGAAAAAACAATTCCATGAAATAGGTTGAATATTCGAGTGTGATAAAGAACATATTATCTTTTTCAATGAAGTGAAGGATGTCATTTACCCTCTTTTATTGATAAAAATATCCAGGCAGTACAATAATAAGATAATTAATCTGAAGGGAGTATTTCTGGCTTTGTCCTGATTATTACAATTTTAAAACATTATGTTAGAACTTTTTTTCAGCAACTCTGGAGATGAAATGATGTCTTGAAACCATGCAGTGAGAAAGCTATGTGACCTGAACTTCACTTTTAACGTTGAGTCAATCAATCTGTTCTTGTCTCCAGACCAAAACCACACAATTATGAGTCAAGATTAGCTTTCCAAGACTGAACTCTGAAGTATGAACTCTCTGTCTATAACTTAATCAACCAAGGCCAAGTCACTAACACTACAGCAAGTGAGACCAAAACAACCCCAGAAATAACTCTGGTCCATTTTTGAGTGCGGGCCAAGTCGGATTCCCTCAAATGGGCTCAAAAGAGAACAAGCGATTGGAAACACAACAGTGAGTTCACCCACCCCCAGAGTCCATCAATCATTATCGTCCACACAAACAAAGCATTCAGATGGACAAAAAAAGTCACTCAATAGGCAGCACACAAGGAGTCTGTAGTGTATCCGGTGGTGGAAAAAGAAGCAGCCAACCAGACAGAGAGCCATCTAAATCTATACAGCTTCATTAATTCAGGAAACTCCACTATTCATACTCAAGAAATGAAAGAGGCATGTCAATTTTCTGCTCATATGGATGAAAATGGATCCTTTTATGGAGCATATTTCCATGATTAACCAGAAAAAGAAAGCCAAGAAATAAACAGGAATTCTTGGAATTCAATGATTTTAGCTTAAGTCAACAGCTTTGACTCTTTTATACTAAAACTGTGATCATATTTAACTGATCAACAAATAAAGTACATTGGCTCCAGTAGCACAGTATGAAAGCTTTAAGATATTACATCAATACCTCTGCATCCTAGGATGTTAGTAAGAATCATAAGACTTATGGGCTACGTTAGTTATAGGAATCTGTTTAAATAAGTGTGTCGGAGCCGGATGACGAGTCTGCTATGTCAAAGCAAGCCAATCCGTCTGTTCAGGGGCAGTAGGGGTGATGTTTTATTTGCCTGGGGCAGCAGCTGCTATGTACTCAGAGGAGGGTGAAAAAAAAAGAGGATGCTCTCTTTAGCCAGAACTGAAGCAGAAGATGGAGCTCCATCTGGCTTTTGGTCTCATGTAAGAGTCTGATGGGCAAAACTACGTCTTAAGAAAATATCCAAATGGTTTGAGGCTGAGAAAGATTGTGGGATTTGACACTTCTGATCTCATGTACCGTTGACTGCATTAGGAGGAGAGTTTACTAAATCATCAACATCAGTTTATGAGCTACGAAAGCAAAAGAAAGACTTTACTTTATTGGACAAATTAGTCATAATTGTGTTTTCTTTCCAAATTGCGTTTGAAAATGTGCTAAAGCTCTCATTCGTTTCATCAAGAGATGAGATATTAAGATCTTATAGCAGGCCGCTTCTGTATTTACTGCTGCCATGTGGCTAGCATTCCCCAGCAGTTAAAAGAGGAGGAGTGTCCCTCTGCAGTCAATACAAACTCTGTTAACAGTGACCACAATCCCCAAAGTAAACTCTGAAGGTTGAGGCCATATATAACAGAAGACCAAGGAACACAGTGAGCCAAAAAGAAGCTTCTGTGTCCTCGCAGCAAGTTGTGAGGATTGTTGACGACACGCGGCAGCGCACGCCGCTCGGTTTCTGTTAAGGCAAAGTGAGGGATGGCGTCACCGAACCCGCTGGAATCAACTGCAAAGTCAACATGCAGCCGGCAGTTCCGGAGTAGGAGGGAACAGTGGGGGGGAAAAGAAAACAACGCTGCTACTCGTTGCTCTCATTTTCACAGCAACAAGTAAAACCACACCAGCACAGAGCTACCACTGATGGCTGCTGAAAAACACAATATTTACTACAAGGAATAAATTTAGCACAGGTTTCTGAATGGTAGTGGCGTATACAGTCATAGCCTTATAATTCAGATCTCTCAAGCATATTCAGATTTTCAAACCGAGCAACCAAAATATTAATTTGACTACTGCACTGTACATGAACTGGAAGCAAAGCAATACCTGGTCTTTAAATAAGGGCAGTAGTAGTATCTCCACTTATGTGTAGATTAGTCTCACTCTAGCAGTTGTTCAGCTAAGATCTCAGAGGTTTGATGGAGAACAATAAGGCCAATTTATACTTCTGATGCATAGCCTCTGCAACCATCAAATCTGTATCTGTGTGCAACAACGCCCCCCGCGCAGAAGCTCTGCAACCATCGTCGCACACCTCAAAAAAATCCTGACTACAGGTTAGACGGTTGCAATCCCACGCAGACCTCAAGCTGAAGTGTGCAGACAAAAAGCAGCTGTTATTGGTCCTTGGTATGCCTTTCCGGCTGTCTGTGTGGTCGTCCTTCTCAATTCGGTGCGAGGGCGCCCCATTTTTTTAAAACCGAGAAGTAATAACAATAATGGATTACCACAACGAAAGGTTGGTCGAGGAAGTTTGGAAGTACAACTACTTGTACGATGCCTCAGACATGTTGTTTAGGAAAATAAACACTTCCGCCGGCGCGGCCGAAGAAGTTTTCCTGACCATCCGCGGTAGTTCTCATGACTTCTCTCGCGCTTTGGCGGGAAACTGCTGTGCGTCCCTAGAAATTCCAGACCGACGTTGCAGAAGCATACCAGCAAAACTGGTTCTTGACCAGACCCAAACGACATTTGATGTGTGCTGTTGAAGTATAATCCGCTTTGAGTCAACCACCACCTAATTCAGACCAAGCAACCTAGTAGATAAGACAAGGATAAAGTATCGGAGCACAGTTAGTATTGAAAAACATATTCTAAGCTTTAAATATCTCACAGTTACCTTCCGATTCATAAACAAAAAAAAAGAAATAAAAAGAATTGAAAGCATGTACCTCAACTGAAATCTCTAAGACCTGTGCGATCCACATGACAGGCCTGCCAATGAGGCAATTATCAGAGGGGCAGCAATTATTTTCTCGCTCCGTAACTCTCATTTTATGGAATAGTGGCAAGAAAGAAGTTATGAGCCATAAGCAGTAGTACTTAAAGGTTTTTACAAGCCATGTAGCGGACATGAATACATAACGGATGAGGTTCTGGTCCGATTAACCTAAAATTGAAGATTTGACTTACATTCGAAAGACTGTGAAAAAAAAACAATCCACAGCACATAAAGCTGAACATATTATACCAATGGTGAGACAAGAAAGTGGCAGTATCATGCTGAGGTCGTACTTTTCTTCAGAGGAGAAATTGAAGCTTGTTAGCTCAATACAAGAAGTAGAGGAATAAAAAGCTAAGACTGGGACAGTCTACCCTAGCAGGGCAAAAACCTTTACCCTATAGAGCCACAACAGAATGGTTAAGATCAATGAAACCTGAGCTTTTCTGAAATGAAGAATGGTGATAGTAGCCATTAGTTATGGGATAATCTGTAAATAACCTGCATCTGGGATTGATGTAAAAAGCAGTTCTAGTAACATTGGCCCAGGTGAGATGAATACAAATGCACAAGAGGTTTTAATCATTTTACTTTGGAACATTGAAAACAATCACAACAACCATCTGTCCTTAATAGGAGATTTTTAGCTGAATTCGAATCAGGTGCTAGAGGTATCAGGTATAGAGTATTTATAGACAAAGGTCTCTGCACTTCAGCTGTACAGGCATAGATACCATAAAGACATTCTCATGTTTCCTGTAGTTTAACTTCTACTGATAAACATAGTTTAAGGTAGTAAGAAAAACGAAACCTTCCGTTAATTAAAAGGCTGTCTATCAGAGTAGAGGAATTAACCAATTAACATTCATGTTCTCGCTGAAGCTAGCTAAAAGAGCAACATCCCCCAAAAAAAAGGTAAAGGTTAAAGCAATATAAACTTCTTGAAACTATACACTCACACACACATATACATATATATATATATATATATATATATATATATATATATATATATATATATATATATATATATATATATATATATATATATATATATATATATATGTATATATAGTTTCAAGAAGTCTAAGGTCTAAGTGACAGATTTCTCCCACAAAGAACAAAAACCACTGTCACTGTGTTCAGTTCAAGCCATCAAATTGTCACTGTGAGAAATAAGAGCCGAGCCACGAGCCAAACTATTCATGCTGCCTTATTGTTCGTACAACTGTAATAGCTGTTGCGTGCCACAGAGAAGTTTTGTAATTATAGGCTCAGATGAAGATGTGCCAAATAGTTCAAACTACCATGTTTCCGCATCACAGAAAAAAAAAAGTTAGAAGTCTGTCAAAAAAAAAAAAAAAAAAAAAAGATAGAAAAGGACAGGGTCTAATGATAGATGGGGAGCCGTGTGCTGGCTGTCATCATTCTGTCGTCGCTTTCAGGTGAACAAGTAAATAAGGAGCAAAGAAAGTGAAGGAAAAGCACAATGATTCATGTTGGTTTATTTAGATACTAACTTTTTTTGTTCATGAATGACAAAATTCAGAAGACCATACATCAATTTGTAAACTTGTTCTGAAGTAAGAGGATTCATTCTGCTTAGGAATGTCAGTGCTGAATTCCTCCTGTCTGATGTCTGTCTGAGCTGAACTAATGTGGGACACTGATACGGGAGGATATGATTAGACAGCGCTTGACTCCTGTCGGCTCTGATAAAGAAGAACATAACAAGCATAAGACAGTTTGTCTGTTTGGATAATCTATTCAGCTTTACTTATTAGGCTTTATACGGATAACACACTTTCATAACTTTCGGGTTTTTAACTTATTTGTAGACTTCTCTTAAAACAGATAGTTGCTAAATATTTAATAGCTTAAGATCTGACTTTTTGAAGAGCAAAAGAGTACGTTTCTTGATTAGGATCTTCGTCAACGTTGGCTATAATTATAGCAAAGTGTGCGTAAAACCACAAAAATCTCCCAGGTGATTGACAAAGCTAAAAAAGTAATTGGCCCTCAAGCATCATCTCAATAAAATAAATGAAAAAGCATGAATGACTAAGTCGACATAAAGCAAGAACCAATAAAGTGTTTTTCTTTGGTCTTACCTGTTGGTCTGCTGGTGCAGGCCCCCCCCTCCTCTGGATGCTTGCACGCAAGCATCTGTCTGTGCAGATGCATGGCCTCCGTGGAATGTGCAGCATTCCCCTGATTCAACTCTCCAGAACCACTACCAGGACCTTCCACGAATGCATCCAGCCCACTAGAGCTCTCCACAGTCCAGCCAACGTGAGCCAAATCTCCTCCTATGCCAGGCCTCCTCTGCACTTCGCCTCGAGGAGGGACGACCAGCCGTATGCAAGGCCGCCGGGAAAGTTCTGGTTCTTCATCCTCTGGGATTGGGTTGTACCAAATCTCCCCCTCATCATCTGCATCGTTTTCTTCGGATGGGTCTACACTCCGAGGATGGGGAGACACCTTAGACTGACCAACAACCACCTAAAAACAAGAAAGACGGAAATGTTAATCTACAAAATTAATATGTTACTTAAGGATACATAAACATAAGAGGAACTTGCAAACCCCAATGAAATACAGTTTGACACACATTTTCTGTCACTTTTGTCTCATAACTTGACAGGCCAACACAAAGAAATGCCTAATCATGAAATGGAAGGAAAATGATACAAGTTCTCTGTGTTTAACAAACAAAACCCTGAAATCCTGTAAAGCAGTATTCGTTGACTCTAGCTCTGGTGGCATTTAGGTGCTTTGAGTTATTTGCAGTTTATAACCAGTTTTTCCCAGGGCTGCTTCACTTTAGCTCCATCTATCACCCATCAAATCTAACCTACATCTCTTTGTCTTCCAATAAAAAATATTTTAACAGCATAATTCAGCTACAGCTATCGAATTGTAGCGATGGTTTGTTCAGGATAATGTACAATGTTGGTCTAAAGATTCAGTCATGATCTCATCTGAACCGACCATCTTCATCTACATGACTATGGTGTTCCTTCTACCTGCATCTAAATGAGATCACCCACACTGTTGATTTCTAAAGGCACTTGGCTATAGTACATTTAATTCCATGTATCAGAGTACAGGGGCTGAATATACTCTTAATGAATGCCACACTTTTCTCTTTTTCATAGTTATTTCACAAAGGTATTTTGACAAACATGTACCAGAAGTTCCTGGGGTAAACCCATGACGTGGGGTATTTCTGCCTGGATTTTAAATGTTGTCCCCATTGGTTCCCTCCAGGTACTTTGGCTTCCTCTTATAGTCCAAAAACACCATTTCTAGGTTAACTGGTGGCTCTAAATTGCTCTTAGGTTGGAGTGTGTGTATGTGGTTGCATCTCTCTGTGTTATCCAGCAGTGGACTGGTGACCTGTCCAGGGTGTGCCCTACCCTTCCTCTATAGGCTGCTGGAGATAGGCACCTAACCCTCACGGACCAGCAACAGAAAATGGGCAGATAGATGTATAATTTTCCTTTGCCTTTAAAATAAGTTACTGCACTGTTTTCTGTTTGTCCATCATCTAAGGTCCTGACAAATTACTTTTGGTGAATGGTCAGAGGACCCCAAAGCTCCTTAGACATTCAATTAATTACCCATTCACACGCTAATGGTGGAAAACTGTACCGTAGCCACATCTACACTGGGGCAGATGAACAGAATCAGGACTGGCACACAATCAGCCCAACGGGGTCCTCTGACCATAAACAGCAGGCAAAGCCCAAGGTCTTTAGAACAGATGAGGTGGAGGCATTACTGATGAACCACCACTTCACCCCCTACACCCTGAGCCAACGTCACCCAACTACATTAAACTTTGAGGTAACATGAGAAAATACAAAGACATACTCTATTGTACTTGTTTCTATTCTTTAACATTTGCTAAACAAACAGACTAATTTTATGCAAAGTTATTGTATGAAGATACTAACCTGAGGGATCAGCAGATGTACTGGCCGTGGCGATGCTCCAACTGTGGATCTTACGTCTGGCAGAGGAATGGGGCTAGGAGAAAGCTGATGGGAGCCCTGGCTGCCTTCCTCAGCTCCCACAATCCCTTGCAGCTCATCCCTGGTGCAGTGACTTTTTGGCTGAGAGCTCTGCTGCAGCCAGTTGCGCTTTTTGGACACGGTGATGGTGGTGGTGAGCTGTGGGCTCCATGATGAAGGCTCGTTGGGCAGTCTGCCTGCCTCTCTTCCCGTTACACATGGGGTGTGGAAATTCTCAATGAAAGCTGAGAGAGTGGAGGACACAAAGGAAGACAGCGAGAGTCACTGCTTCATGCTAGAAGATAGTAACAGGATTTGGCTGGGATAAGAAGAGCAACTTATCATCATCTGGATTAGTATCATTTCACTAATTACTGATGGGAACTGAATTAGAGAAGTGAATTCTTAATCTCAAACTATTCAAGTCGAGACAGGCTGAGGGAAACATTTGCATCAAGAAACCACAAGTGTGAAAATATTTAACAATGCCAGCTGGTTTTGCACATCTGCATTGCTGAATTTCCTACTTTTTTTTCCTGGGAATTGAAGATAAGCCAAAAATAGTTTTAAAAAACCACCACAGATCAGATTTAGTGGTTTTATGATATCTTCTGATGGACTACAATCTTTTACCAAAAGTCACTTCCCCCCATTTCCATTTGTCCTTCTAAAGTTACCTTTATGAGGGTCTGCTTTGGCAATATGTACACCCACAATTCCAAGCAGAGATTGGAGACCAAATGGATAAAAAAGGACATAAAAATTACATTACAGAAAGAAAAACAAGGATGACTTATTAAGTGTAGGCGGCTGACATATGTCGAAGAATCAAATGATAGATATGTGACTTGTATAACTGCATTTAATGTTTATATATCAAGAAAACCTCCTTTATAATTAGACTTTACTATGAGATATTAATAATATGCAAGGATTTATCACAGTCTGAGAAAGAGAAAAAACCCCAACTATGTTCAAAAGTGTGACAAGGAAAGCATAGTGCTGAGGGAGGCCAGGGTCCTGCTCCAACTTGTAGAGCAGGCTCAAATAAAAGACTGTTTTGATCCCCTCCAGCTCTCAGACGAGCCCCTCCAACATGCTTTAATGCCAGCTTCTACTTCTCTAGAATTTTTCACACATGCCTGACTTGCAGAGCAAATCTAGCATACGATCCAGCATAGAATACAATTAACAGCACCAATTTAGGGGGAATTGAATTGGTTTTCAGGTACTTTTAATCAGATAATTGAATATCTACTAAGTTCATAGACCAAGAAAACACTTTCTTAACAGCAAAAACATGATTTTAGGGAGTCTCAGTGCTGCTTTCGATGTGGCTAATCATAACAGTCTTAAATAAACTTTAAATATAGATGAAGACATATATTCTCCATAGATTTAGTTAAGAATTTATTTGGTCAACCAGGCTTACATTGTGTTATACAGCAGTTAAAGGTCTGAGTGACCAAAACCATGTTGGGGAATTCCTCAAGGCTCCATTCTCAGGTAGGCTGGATTCAATATATAAATATTCCCTCTCAATTAGAATAGGTAGGATCAAAATATCTGACAACTTGTATGCTGACAACATAACCTTATATTTCTCTATGACTTGATCTAGGGGTGTCCCGGTATAACATTTTCATTTCCAATTCAATGCCCATATTGCAGCTTTGAGAATTGTCCGATACCAATATTGACCTGATATGATATTATTATAATCTTACCAGCTTTAATTACTTATTTTATTCTGTAGAATGTTATAAAAGGCTTCATGAAGAATTATAACTAAAATAGGGAACAAAAGTAATCATCAAAATGCATGAAAAATCTGTCACACTAAAAAATTAGTTATAGAAACTGTTAGTAAAAACAGAGTGTTTATATTTGCATGAAAATATTTGAGGTTGTAGATGCTATCCAATATAATCTGATATTAGCTTTTTTTGGCTAATATCAGATCGGGACATCCATATAGATAACCACAGTCCATTAGTCACCAAGTCCTTTTTTTCATAATGTAAATGAGTCCATTGGTCATAATTTTCACCATCTTAACTAATAAATGTCAGGAACAGATTTAAACATGGAAAGGTAGATTTTTTTTTTTTATGTATTTCATATTTTTTTATGTATTTTTTAAGCATTTCCCCAATATAGAATCGCAAAATTGTACTATTGATAAAGGGAATTTGTTTTCTATTGTTCCTTTATTTTATTTTCTAATGCATTCCTTATTCATGGTACAAAAAAAATCTGCCATGCCTTGCCTAGAGTCTACAAGGCTCTCATAGCAGCCTCTCTGAGATCTACAGCTTTATAAAGCAACCATTGTCCAATAAATATTCAGTGAAATTTCTTGCCCCAGAACAAAAGGAGTTAATCTTCCCTGAAATAGAGCTAGAATAGTAGGCGGGAATTAACTAATCAAAGATAGGGATTAAACTTCCTTGCACTCCACCTTTTAGTAGATTTTAGTTCATTTCCTTTCTGAATCCGCTTTGGCTGGACAATAAAATCCTAATCTTTAAAGTGCCTATGCCTCTTCTTTTGCTTGATTATCTGAATACAAACACAGACAGAACCTTTCATTTATGTACAGCAGACTTCCATTCGTATCATGTTTTTATATGTTTGCAAAGTCTCAATTAGAGATGTATGAGGGCCGGTGTTTGGGTAAATTTAGACTTGGAGAGTCATTTCAGGTGGTTCACTGAGTTCAATGCAGGACTGTGTGTGCTTGAGCGCCCTGTGCTCATCTGTGATGCCATGATTTTATCTGTTCCAGTAAGCCTGCGTTTCAGGTAGCCTTTTTAGTTTATGTAGAAAATTCATCCAAGTAGTAAATGCATATAATGCATTGTTGTGACAGATGATGGATTTAAGATAATTATCATAAATTTTGCTTTGAATTCCTTAAAAAAAGGTGTTAAAAACCTCAAGCTTCTATGCCACAATTACTCATTTGCAATAATAAACCCACTTTTTAACCAAGGAAAAAAAAAAATTAAGGCAGCTATGGTTTTAGGCTGTGTAAAGACACATAATCAAGAAATTAAGCTAAGAAAGATACCTTTTATTTTTTCCACGCAAAAATAAAAATAAAACCATATAAAGGATTTGTAAAGAAAAAAAAAAGCGGAATAATAACTGAGCCTCTCCAAAACAACTGACCTTGCCGCCTACACAGGGAGCTGTTGTCGTGAAGCTGTCTTCTTCAAGGGGTCTTTCATAACTGGAAAAGGAAGCATGTTCTGACAAGAACAACATTCCAGACCACAGCTCCAGATTTAAATCTTTTCTGCCATCTCCTTTTACCATCACGCTCCTTCACAGGAGCAACAGCTTCCAAAACAAACAATGGGCCGGACAAATTGGACCCAATTTGTAAAAAAAAAAAAAAAAAGAAAACTTTCAAATATTAACTTCTGTCAAATATTAGACAATTTATAGACCTTATTTACCTTTCAGGCTTTCAATAAAACCTGATTAAAAACTAAAAATTATTCTAAAATCTTGAATTTTATCTCTATCAAACCAAGCTAAACATCAAGACAGGGTGATTAGAAGTGAAAAATTAATAGACAGGAATTACAAGAAACAAAGCAGGGAGATAATTAGAAAGGTGACAGGAAAGCTAATTTAGAAATCTAATTAATAGGTTTTTAAGGAAAACAATGCAAACCAACAAAGAGTCAAGAGACAAGTTTAATTCCCTGTTTACCCCATTTACAGTATTTAGGCCACTATTTCAATCTTAAATAGACTCAAAAAGCAAAAAATTAAATCTGGACTAAAACACATTACTGTCTATTTAGAGGACGGAGCTGAATTAAAGAACAAGGAAGAAAAAGTCACCTTGTGACAGTGTCAGAAAAGGGGCAAAAACCTGCAATGTTAACCACTAAACAAAATCATCCCATACACTTGACTTAGAAAAGATTTTATCTACAGCGAAACACGTTAAAGGCCCTTTTCAGCTTCTTTGCAATCAGTGCAGAGGGAACCCTGACGGACCCCCGACCTCAAGGTAACAGATGGCCAAACCCCACAGTACAGGACTGCGTCTTTGTCAGAAAACCAAAAGAAAAGAGAAAAATGAGGCGGTTCACAGATGGGGAAGAGTGTTATGGTTTGCAAAATTACCAGGAAAAAAGCTCCAAGTACCAATGCAGATCTGCATGGTGTGAGCCGCAGAATGAACCCAATTATATTCACCTCTAAACCTTGTGAGTGGCTGGATCTTTTGCTCATAAAGACAAAGCTCTTGATCCACTTTCCCATAGGCTTGTAATTTTGTTCCTGTTTTCCCCTTTTGGTTATAAAGGCCTTTCTTTGGATAGGAGCAAAACACACACCAGCTCATTTTCTCTTCCATACAGACACAACTTTGTTGTAAGTACTTGGTTTGTGAGCTCCTATTTAGAGGGAATCTTTAGCGGGGTGCCATGCATTCCTGTTGACACTCATTCATATGCTAATCATGATTCTCAGTGTAGATTTTTCTTTTTACACAAGGACAGAGCTGAGATCACTCAGGGTTACATCACATGTCAACACTTGCATCCTACTGAGGCATACTGACGGCGTTGATAACACTTCCTCCTCCATATGCTGGCTGAAGAGGCCAATTTTTTTCCCTCCATCTCCCAGTTCTTTCAGTGTTTCTTTTTTTGTGTTGATCAAAATCAAATTTTTAGGGCAAACAGAGATGGCTTAATTAGCTAAATAGCTACAATAACCGTTAGAAAGAAGCCCTGAAGCCCATTAAAGGCAATAAAGTAGCATTCTCCCCACTCCTTGCAGCAGACGCCATCATGACTAACACATCTCATAAAACCATATCGGTATGATCCATTATGCCTCAAGTTTCTCCTCTCTCATCTTATCTGTGTTTGGAGCTTGCAACTTCAATAAATCTGTCAAAGCTCATACATGCTATAACACAGGATAGTGTTTGCACCTCCCTTCTTAGCTGTGTCATGTGTTTCTGTCTTAAAAAATGTATTAAAACAAAAAATATAGATATACTTAGGAGTGAGACTCATGTTCTTTAACATATACTCTACAGTGCTCTGTTAGACTGACATCTAGAAACTGAGGGCCGGATTTATCAAGATCCAATTTTGCGTGCAGTAATTTGCGCTCGCAAACTGGAATTTTGCGCGAGGGGCTGAATCATGGTTTGCGGATGATTTAACAAGAGCGATTGCGTAACTGGTGGCAGGTGCAAAACTGTTGGAGACGACCTTACGATTCCTGATTGGAAGGTGGTCGTGAGAGGTTAATCGCCCCTCGTTACCCCCTGTACACTACATGATGCATGAGGAGGCTGAAAATCGGCTAAATCGAAAAATTCTCACACGACTGGAGAATGTGCCCGAAAAAGAGAAAGAAAAAAAAAAAAAAAAAAGTCGTAGTGTATGCCTGCCTTTATCTTCATTCACTGTCTCCTGGTCCTCTTTGGTGAAGGAGGCACTAAAGATAATGTGCAGATGAACATGCCATCCTGACCTCTACCCCGTAGCAAAGGAGCGTTAGCATTAACTAAAATAAAATGACCACCAAAAATGAAAAATATGGATACAAAGACGCAATGAAGGTCCATAATGGAAAAATCTACATCTCAGGGGCAGGCACAAAGAGTAGCTAAAGTTTGGGATAAGCGGACAAGTACAGGTTTGTTTACAAAGTCAGGCTGCTTCTTCTTCTACTACTAAAGCATTTCCAGAAAAACAGAAATCTCCATGCATAATTAAATGATTTAATCTGATTGAACTCTTCGTACATCGATACACACATCATGATTGGAGCATTTTATTTAGTGTCAATACATTTTTTTCTACCAACTACAATTTAGATTGAATAAAGGAAAATTGATACTTTTGTTTTGATGAGGCCTTCAATCCAATTATTTGTGTCCATGTAAACAGAGCTATTGTTGAAACTGGAGTTAAAACTAGTCAGAAAGGGGACCTGTTTTCAGTAGGAAAAAAAAATTAAAAACGGTAAGCCTCAATTTCCTGTTCTTTGCTTCTGTAGCCCATCTGCTTTAAGATTTAATGTGATGTACATTTAGAGAAGGTTTCATGAATGCCATGGATATATAAGGAGTTTATGTGAGACAGAGGATGACTTGTTAGCACCTTAAATAAGTCAGCCCACTTTCCTCTCACCGCTGTAATCAACAAGGTGTTTTTGTCCACACATCTGTCCCTTTCTGCAGTTTTTCTCATTCCTGGGCACTTTTAATAAAAACATATAGGAAGGTCTGTGTCAAAGACTTAACTCTAAGTTGAAATGCATTTTAATTTCAATGCTTTCAAATTGTGATGCTTGGTTCCAATTTAAACAAGTTGTTTTTAAATACATCCAGCGCCTTAAATCCATTCAGTTGCTACCTTGTAACCGGCGACTTCCCTATTGGTGGAAATATGAGGCAAGGTCATCTAAAATTAGCCAAAAAAACAAAATTCAAGATACCGTTTGGATTTTCTTTAACAATGTTTCCCCCCGATAGTAGCTACAGTGATCTGTTGTATTTTTCAAGGTTTATCTACTTTTGTTATAGATAAAAACATGACATTCCATAAAATCTACATCTTGAAGCAGATGCATCTTGGCAGGAAATCAGCACAGAGTTCAGGATGTTGCTAGTTTAGAACAGTTCAAAACATCCTTTCCACATTCAAGGATTTCCTCAAATTATCGACAACATGTCATGTCAGGTCTTGTGTGTATATGGTGGTTTTCACTTCGGAAAAAGGATACAGATTTTTTTTTTTTTTTTTGGTTTTGTTTCTAGTTTTTACACTGGCTACACTCCAACTGGGATGTTTCCAGTTCAGGTAAATTGTACATCCCTGTATTTAGTTTGTTATATCATTGTCCAGTTTAACTTTATTTTCCATTTTGCAAGGCCAGACAGACAACCTTACCCTTCTTGTTTATAAAGTTCATTTAAATTACTATAAAGGCAGCTTGGTTCGTATCGTTCTAACTTATAAAAGTTAGAACATTCTTTTAAATATTTCACTCATAGTACAGCAAACAAACACCATTGTCAACTTTGTTTGAGACTTTATATTGTATTTACCAAATGCATGACTCATTACCCAATCCCTGCTGAAGCATGACACCTGGGTCATGCCCGCCTACCAGCATGCTCTCTTCTCCACTACGCCGAAACAAAATAAGAAATCTTTTGACTTTAAACAAAACATCCACAAACATTTTCTTATGCCCTTCAGAAAGTGTATAATGAATAAAGTGCATAAGGTCAAACTGCATTGTGATTTCTAAAGACTTCACTTTGAGGTCTCATTTCCAAATATCATTCATGAAACTCCAGGTTTGCAATATTAGACAAAATAAGCTAAAATAAAATAGGCATCCATAAAAGGAAATGCCTCAGAAAAGGGGTTTAAGAGAGCAATGAGGAATTTAAGGCTTTTTTTTTTTGCTCAAACGTTCTTTCTGAGGTATTAATAGCTCCTCATTTGCAAGAGAGGTCAAGCAATGACCGTAATAAACACTTAATCGACCTTCATTTTGTTCAGTCATGGTGAGGAATTAGGTGACACAACTCAAACAAGTTAAACAACAGGAATGGCATCTGAAAAATTCCACCCGAAGTCTCTTTAAAGGCAAGCTACCATTGGGCTGTCAAGAGCAAATGACTGGGGAGGAAGGCGACATGACAGCACAACCCCCTCTTCCCTCAAACAAATCACCCACCAGGCCGACAGCAGAAAAATACTGCAATGGCTTCTCTCCCGCTTTGGATTCCTCTGGCCACAGCTGTGGAAAAGCTCAGCCGAGACAGGGATAAAATGGAAAGTGGAGGAAATAAATGAGGAAAAAATGAGAGTAAGCACTGAGAGTTGCATGGAAACTAATAAATACCAAGTTTGGTACTGATTTTAACTCTACAATGGTCAAGAAAGGAGCTGTTATACCGGTGGCAGTATGTTAGAAGGAGAAACCTAAATAATAATATCATTTGTGGTTTCCTGATACAGATGTTTTCAAGTTTTTCATAAAAAATTTGCTCACAATGAAACATTAAAATCAGATGACGATCAATAGAAAACACACAAAGACACAAACATTACCCAACTACCAACACCACAGACACCAATCTAACAGAAGAGTAAGTTAGTAGTTACTGGATCTATGTTGTGAGTATTTTGTCCGACAATCTTGTGTGTAATTAAAATGTTAAAATGCTGCTAAATTAGTGTGAAAGGCAAAGCCCGCCACCAGTAACAGATCCCCTAAAAAGGAAAGCAAGAGGTCTGAGGTGTCTCGTCCCTTTGCTTTGCATCCAGAATTGAAGGAGTGAAGGGTGGACCGCCACCAGGCGAAGTGTACTATGAGGTGGAGGAGGATGACAACAATCAGACGGGGAGGAAAAACGGTAGAGGATTCCCGCTGGAGATGAGGCCACCCTGTGTAGCCTTCCTACCTGGCTGCTGAAGCTGGCTTGTTGACTTGATTGTAGACGATTTAACCTTGATTGATTTATTCCCTCGGACCTGGACGCCTGGTTTGCAGCCTCCGTGGTTAACCTTAGGGGAGGACCAATCCAGATTCTGACCTCCACCTAGAGGTAAAGATGAACCCTCGATGCGCTGTTTCATCTCTGATGAAAGCAGACGACCCTTGTGCATCCACTCTTGCATCTTGTTCACAGTAACGCCATGGCCTTTCCTGGCTGATCGGACCACCTGAGCCCGGACCTCAGCCAGCTCCCGTCTGCTCTCCTGACCCCGATGGATTCCTGGTTCACTGTTGCTGTCTGTAGAACCTGTGAGGCTGTTGACCGAGCCGCTGCTCTCATTCAGCTGCCCCCCGTAGTCCTCCTCACCTGCGGCCTTTTGCAATAGTTCCTCGCTGCTGACTGCACGACAAGGTTCCTTAGGCTCAGACATCTCACCTGCTTTTAAGGCATCAGTCCCCCCATGCTTTTTTGACTCGAAAGCTTCTTTTACACAAGCCTCTACACTTTCCTGTCTGCTTACTTGGTTACAACATGAGGATACAGGATACCTGATACTGTCATCACTGGCAGATCGCTGCAATGTGGGTCTTATGGTCAGTGACAATCTGGACAGGCTCTTACTGATCAGCCTTGCCTTTGAATCCAGCTTTCCAGTGAGGCAGAGCAGAAGTGATTCGGTGTCAGAAAGCTGCTGAGAACTGTGGTTCCCTCCTGAGGACCAGGAGTCACTGTCTGTATTTTTAACAGACAGCCTGGAGCACAGACTGTCTCTTGAATGACTACTACAGGAAGAAATGGCCTGCTGCTCACTTGAGCCACCATTAATCTGATGAACATCCAAACTGATATCATTCATAGCATTAATGAGAAGATAATAGGCTTCTTGCAGCTGTGTTCTAAGTCTGTCTGTTTCCTGGGTGATCTCACCATCATCTACCTGCAGCTCTGTGGCCTCCACCCTATCATCAGTTTTTGGTTTAACTGTCTCATAAAAGGGCAGAATTTCATTATCGTAATAATCTTCATCTTCACTGTCTAAAGGGTAGCCCGGTGGCCCCTCTGTGGTGCAAAGAGATTGGATTTTAAAGTCACACATTTGTAAGTCAGTAGGGAAAACAGTTGGGCTCAGAGGGCATCCTGATGTCTCTCCATTGAGCCGCTCACATCCAGACTCATAACTCTCAATGCTTCTAATTAAAACATTTTCTTCTGAGTTTGGATGCACGCAACTTTGCGTGTACGCCTCCAAAGCGGGGCTGTCAACATTCCAGGTGTTGTTTGCGTGGATTGCTACTACAGTCCCTGCCATGTGCCGGGAGTGTCCCCGGCTCTTGATCTCTGGCCCCTCACCACCTGCAACCCAAGCCACAGCCGCTCTAACGAACCCTGCGCGTGCGCCTACCTGCGCGCGGTGTGACGCGTGACCGGAGCTGTCCCCGAACCCGATAGAATCCCCGACGCTGCACTGCCTCTGCGCACAGACGAAGCGCTTTATCTGCACATGTGGTCCTTTGAGTGAAATCCCCGCAGATGCGGGCTCCCAGAGGCTGCTTTCCTCCCCCCCGGACCCCTCCCCAGCAAACTGCGTGTCTCTTTGAAGTGGGGCTCCTAGGAGCCGCTCATTAACGTGAACCCTGCCCCCGCTGCTCTGATCCTGGGGACATGAGCCAGCGGCTGCGCAAATCGGGACTGTTGTGAACCCCTCGGTTTGCACCAGCGCTCCTTCAACGTGATTCTCATATGTACTCATTCTCTCTGTGGTGGAATCCAAAACTACCGGGCGGATCTCCTCAGGGAAAACTTTTTCTTTACCTTCAGGGCCACCATGCGCCGCAGCAGCAGATCCGTATCCACCGCTGAGCGTCGCTCCTTTTTTGGACTTCTTCCCCCGTAGTTTTGCTAGTAAAGTCCTCCGCAGAGGATCAGCCATTCCTTTCCTCTGCCACCCCCCTCCCCCCTCCAGCTAATTCCTCCCGGTGTCTCTCAGCAGGCTGGCCTTAGAAGCGAAGGGCCGGGCGGGTTGTCCTCGGTCAGAGCTCGCCGAGCGGACGCGCTGCTCTCCATTCTCCGCTGTCAGCTCCACTCTGCAGGCCACTCAGACACTCAGGACTCCACTTTGCTCAACTGCACCACCTCTCTCTCCTCTGCTGAACACACACATCTCTCCTCCCTCCTCTCTAGAGCCTCGCCTCTCTGGGTTTGTAGCTCAGATGTTTCAAATATTTTCTTGTTTCAAAGTTCATTGATTTTATACGGAAGAGGATTAAGGCCACTGAAAAGAAAAAAAAAAACGTTAATTGATTTTTAAATTTTATGTCAGAATTCCGACCTTAATCTGAGAAAAAAGTCAGAATTCTGAGTCCGAATTCTGAGATTAGTCAGAATGCTGAGAAAAAGGTCAGAATTCTGACTTTTTTTTCTCAGAATTGTGGGATTAAAGTCATAATTTCGAGAAAAAGTCAGAATTCTGAGCCATAACTCTGAGAAAAAAGTCAGAATTCTGAGCCATAACTCTGAGAAAAAAGTCATAATTCTGAGAAAAAAGTCAAAATTTTGAGTCAGAATTCTGAGATTAAAATAAACATTTTTGACTTTTTTTCCTCAGAATTCTGAGTTTAATCTCAAAATTTTTAATTTAAACTCAGAATTCTGACTTTAATTTCAGAATTTTGGATCTTAATATAGATGGGTACCATGAAGGAAGAGATGTGGGAGAACTCAGCTTCACTGACAAAGAATGGCGCAATTAGGTGACTTTTCAAGTGCTCGAGGATGCTCAAAGTGATGATTTTTCATTAATGGAAGAGCAGAAGGGGATTAAACTAAACTAGAGCTAGTTTAGTCTTTAAAACAGACATGGCTACGGCTTGATGGTAACAGGTTTGTTAGCTATCAGAATTCTGAGAAAAAAGTCAGAATTCTGAGATTAAAGTAAAGTAAGGGATCGCTGATAGTGATATCAATACATGATACAATACTTTTTATATTTAAGCTTAGTGTATCAGATAAACTGATTACATTTCAGTATTTTGGGGATTACTACTTTATTATTACAGATGAACAATGGAAAAGCAAGCAGAGCAGCAAAGCACTGGGAAAAAGGGCGCATTTCTGCTTTTAATGCACATTTTGAAGTATCTCATCAGAAAGGCTGATGGAAACACAAATTTTTAATAAAATCACATAAAATTACAAGAAAGTTTTGTGCTTGTTTGGGGTGGTTTATGGCTTTTGCAGAAAAGGGTTGATGCACAAACTGGAAAATGGAAACACTTTTTTCGAATTAGCTCTATAAATCACATGACTAATCAGCTGTCTCTGCTGTGGGCTTCTTCCTGGATGTTCCTGTAATGCACATAAACATGGCTGGAAGCAGCATCACAATTTATAGCTGACATATTTACCTAAGAAAAACTTCCCTGATCACATTAGAACCATCAAAACTTTCCTTCATTATTTCATGCTAGAATGCAGCCTCTACTTCATGTTTACTACAGCCATGCTTGGTTGATTCACTTCAAACCAAACAGAAACAGATATATTTGATATATTACCAGATATATTAACAGATTCACATTTTGTTTGTTTCAAACTGAAGTTTGAACTTCAATTAGAGGGAAACAGCTACAGACAGGCACATTTTGTTTAATCTGCAGCAGTCAATGCATAAGGAGAAGAAAACAAGTATTGGTCAATATCAGTATCAGCAATGGTATCAATATTATCAATACTAGGATGATCTGCTCACCTCTATAGGCTACTTTAAGATTTAACAGGACTGCTACATCTATAAAGCTATATTCATGCCTGACTTTATAATTCTAAGTTTAGGAGCATTTCTGAGCTCATTGGTTGGCTGCTATGGCTCTCTCCCCAGGGCGGCAGAGCCCCAAGGTGCAGGATACCCACTTAAAAAAACTATTTTATTCTTTATATCTATACTTTCTTCTTTAAAGTCATGTTTTACCTACACCTCAACAAAAGCTCTGTTATACATTTACTTGTCTTGTTAGATTAGGCACCACCCATAAAATGTAAGGATTAAGTACTATAAAAATATGGGGCCACACACAGACAAAACAAAAAGGCTGCCTCTGGTGTCTGATTCATAGCATCAAGGTTAGTGAAGAATTAAAGGACCAGTTCATAGTTATTGAATCGGATCAAACCTAATTAATTAAAATAGTATTATTAGTAATATAAGGAAGGTACTTTCTAATTTCCCCTGTCAAAGATATTGTTATTCACAAGGGGACTTTTACAGCTTTCTTATAAATCTCTGTCTATATGGATATTATTTCCACATATAATAGTTATATAATAGTTTTCCCCCCTATATTTCTGTTCAGTTTTGCTTATGTTTAGCCTTAGTCTTTTACTGTCAGCCACCATCATCAGTTTCATTCAATCACACATGCTTAATATTTACATACTCCTCAGGTTTTTTTACACCCTATGATCTTCTCTGCATTGCTAATAATTGATTGTAGTCTGGTCCAACTCTCTTGTCTGACTGCCAACCAGCACAGAAATAAGTTTGCATAAGACAGTTTAAATAATGCCTGTATATTGGATCCCAACTCTGGTCCTCAAGAACCCCTGTCCTGCATTTTTAGATAAGCATCTGTTCCAAAATACCCGATTCAAATGATTAAATGACTTCAGCATGCATTAAGTGCTGCAAATGAATCAATTATTCATATAAGTCAGTTGCAAGCAGCAATGAGACACCTAAAAAATGTAGGATGGGTAATTGGAGCAGAGTTGGGAACCACTAGAGAAGACCAGCAGGTTTCAGGTTGTACGGCATAGTCTCTGTTGGATTGTGTCCAGCTCAGGTTTCAAGAAAGGGTGGTTCCAAGGAATCAGAAGGGACAGTAGATATGGTATTGTGTGCATATGAGTATACATAACGACATATTATTGTTATGCAACCATGGTGAAACTTTGGAGAGACACTGGCTCAGTGTGCACATATTATATGTAGACACAAATTAAGAACATAGAAACAGGAAATCCTTAGAGGAGACATGACCAAAATGTAAAAAAAAAAATCCTCAGACAAAAAAAAAAAAAACACAAAGTGTGAAATATCAACACCCCCTTTATCTCTTTAAATACTGGATTAATGCTTTAAAGGGTAAAACGTAAGTTAAAAAATTAAAAAGGAACTTCAATCACTTCCATCACTGTTATTACTGTTATCCCTATAAAAGTAGCCAAGACTTCATTCATGTTTCTGGCACTAAACTCCTGTTTTAGTTTGTTTGTTGCTTCAAAAACAACTAAAATCTAGTTCAAATTAGAAAAGAATTTGTATGTATATATACATTTGTATGTATATATAGAATTTGTATATATATATATATATATATATATGTATATATATATATATATGTATATATATATATATATATATATAGATAGATAGATAGATAGATAGATAGATAGATAGATAGATAGATAGATAGATAGATAGATAGATAGATAGATAGATAGATAGATAGATAGATAGATAGATCGCTTAAAAAGGTTTTCAGTCTTGCATTCAGTGTAATTCAGCAAGCAAAAGAACAGATGGTCATTATTCCACAAACATTCAGCACAGATCTTTCCCCTGAAACTTGAATCAAAATTAGAGTGGGAGCAGTTGAGTCAGGACTTTAAATTACCACCTTCACTTGTAGCCGCTAATGCATTTTAGCAGACCGCAGTGAGAACAATCTCGATCTCAGGGGGAAATATGTGCTTACACTCTGCTGAGAGAAAAGAAAAATGTCTGTCTCAGCAGGAAACAATAAGGAGGATGGTGATTAACTATCCACGCCACATACCACTCTTACTCTTTTTCCAAATGATCAGGATTATGTCTGTCATGTGGAATTAACCACCTCATAGTTTTATCTTCATTATAAAGCCATTGCAAAGGACATGTTTTATCCCTCCCAGTGACAACGGCAACCATAAATGCGTGGCCTGCCCTTGCGATGGATCACTGGAAGCTTATTTAAAGTAATCCCCTCCTTTTTTTAAACTTTCATCTTTAACCTAACTTATATACAGTGTATGTCTGTGCGTGCAGAACCACCTGAGATTTTAAGACCATCTAAGAAAGTTGAGGACAGAACGGAGCATGTTTCACTTGAACTCTAAACTGTTTGTTTGCCGTTGCCTCTCCTAGGAATGTGCAAGAAGATGAGCTGCTGGGAAGGTGCAGCGGGTGTATGAGCACACATGCCCATCTAATCCTTTCCCTGTAAGACACTTTCATACGCTCGGACTGAATCTGAATCCGTTATGACCCTATCCACTTTTTCCAGGCAGAAATACACCAGGATTAGAAATATTTAGAATCACATCCATTTGTTAACATGACCCTTTACTCCCACAGCTTAACTCCCATTAAAACATGATAAGCATCTACTATTGGCCTGTATGAGCCATGTCGGCCCCTGAATCTTTTTCCTGTCTCCCCGACTGTCTGACTAAACCTTGTCTGGGCAGTTATTCACAGGTCAAAACCTGCAGGTACATAGGGTGTTTTTGTGTGTAGAGAGGGATGAGAAGGCTGGGATGGTGGGGGTACCAGGGATACAAGGACCGTCTGCACTGTGCAAGCATGCTAATTGTTTTTTGAGTTGTTTTTTTGACTTACCCCTTGAACTTTTGCAAATTGTGTAATACTAAACCCACTACCAATCAACGCATTTCATTCTGACCTCAAATGGAAATAAAAAACAAACTCTCCAAAATTTTAAAATGAGGAGAAAAATTTTTTTTGTTATAAATAAAGCCACCTTGAGGCAATAGTTTTCAGCTCCCCGCTGCTCCTCTCCTTTAGAACAGCAAGTCTGTTTAACATTTTCTTCCACCTGTGACAATGAGGCTAAAATACTGAAAAAAAACTTCTTTCCAAAATAAATTGGATCTTAGCCTGGTAGGGAAGAGATTGATACATATATTTTGAATTTGACTCTTGTTATAATTTATCCACTCAAACACCAGACGTCATTTAGATGTCATTGTGTTAATCCTAACACAATCTTCCAGAAACACTTCTACCACGGTATCTTAATTCTCCATGCTGAGAATCAACATCTATAAGGCCAATTGTGG